CAATATTAATGAAATGATAAAAAGTAATGAATGAACAATACCATACAATGCAAAAATATCCACACATACCTAGTTTACTTTCCATAGTTAGGATATAAATAATTTATTGTAGAAAGCAGTCTTTTTTGACAAATGGTATTAGGATACCTAGCTAGATATATATTATTTTAAGTTACAAAGAATTAACCCAACACGGACCATAGGCAAAAAAGTAGAACCTTTTGTAGTCTTATACTGAACTTTCATTTGAAAAGTGGGAAAATATCTTAATAATTCTTGGATGGTTTCTTTAAAATGACCACAGAAGCAATTACCATGACCAGAAAAAGGATATAAAATATAAAAGGATATGTTAACACTATTAACAAGGTAAGCATCAAACCAAGTACTAGGAGAATATATTCTTAGTTCATATTCCTCAAATAGATTTGTATCTAACATACATAACTTCGGAAATCAATAATAAAAATACAAAGCACCTAATAAAAATGGGAGAGGAAACTTTAATGTGGAGTTATTTCACTAAAGATAAAAATTTAAAAAGCCAGTGCGCACATGAAACTAAACTACTGTCATGACAGTGGTGCCTCGGTTCATGAAGTTCATTGGTTCCATGATTCTGGGAAGGCTGTCATGGTCGTGTTCCTCTCCTGATGTGGAGTCCAGAAACCAAAGCAAAATCCTGTGGACTGCTTCTGTTCCGGAAATGAATTGGCCACAAACAGAAGCACTCACGGGCCAAATGCAGTTAGAGCAGTGAATAAACTGAGTGAACTGTATATATTAACACTCAAAAAACTCGTGAAAGACAAGTAACATCAAAATGATGGCTGAAGAATTTATTGCAGTTATCACTGTATTCAACAGGGAAATGCAAAAATAAAAATGCATTGGCATAGGACCCCCAGAGATACGATTAAAATTTAAAAGTGCTACTATCCAAGGTTGGTGAGAATATGGAGCAAGTGGAACTCTCAGCGGTGGTGGGCATGCACAATGGGATATCGATATTTTGGGCACAATTTCCCAGTTTCTTTTTTGGTACTGGGGATCGAACTCAGGTCCCTGCGCTCGCAAGACAAGCTGTGGAACCACTGAGCTAAATCCCCAGCCCTCAGGTTCATTTTTTTAATAGTCCATGTTTATACTACGTGATGTTCACTCTGGTGAAGAATCAGTACATGTACATAAAGCATCCTGGTTCTGTTTTTTAATCCCCTTTCTGTTCCCCCCTCACCCCTTCATCCATCTCTTGAACCCCTCCCCCCATTTCTTGTGTATGTTTGCACTACATAATGTTTACATGCCTTGTGTTGTGGCAGTTTCTTAGAATGTTAAATACAGACCATATCCTATGATGTGGCAACTTTGTGTTCTAGGTATTTATCCAGAGACATGAAAACAAGTCTACAAAAAGATTTTGCAAGAACTTCTGTAGATGTTTTATTCATAATAACTAGGTCCTGGAAGTACTGAATATTAATCACTAGGGAAATGGATAACTCAATTGGGATATATCCAAAATAAATCAGCAATAAAAATAAATGGGCTGTCAAAGCAGATAAATGTGTTAAGCTCAGAAACCTTATATTAACAGAGAAAAATGGATGAAAGAACATATACAGTAGATCATTTTTTATGAATATCACACCAGGCAATAGAAATTAGAGCGATGGCTTCCTATAACAGATGTAATTCGACTACAAGTAGGGATAGAAGACTTATGAAATATGAATACTTAAGATTGTGTATATTTAATGAAATGATAATTACTTGGGTAAAAGTGTATCAAAACACATCTGATTGTACAGCTATTACTAGAAATTCCCCTGGATGTAATTACTATACCTTCATTCTTCCCTTAAAAGTAAAAGCATTGGGCTCTCAACTCCAAGTTGTGCACACTATTGAGATCTTAGGTATGTGTTGTGGGATAATAATGATTCTCACCTCATGGAGTCTATGAAAATCAAGTCAGGTGATGTATACAGGTGATAGATGCAGAAGGTTTACCCCATGCAGTGAGCCCCATGTTCATTTTTATGAAAAGTGGACATGGTTTTTTAAAAGTTACAAATATGAAGTAGAATGTTACAAACAGTGAATCAACAATGTGATCTTTAAGTGACTCTCTGCAGTGTACACAGTGAGTATTTGACAGTGACAGGAAACACTGAACCCATCCCGTAACTTAACATGTAGAAAAAAATCGTAACTAATATATCATTTACTGTAAAATGAGTACAAACATGGCTCCAAAAATTTGGAAATTCGAAACAAAACAAAACCATCGTTCAGAATCTACACCTGTCATGACCACTTCTACCACTTTTCACTGTTGCTCACAAAGGCACCGTGTTAGAATTTCTCTCAAGGACAGCAGAGACAGCCATGCTCACTGAGTATCTGCGCGCTTCCCCTGATATCCGGTCTCCTCTAGATCCGGGTCAGGCCATGACTAGCCCTGGCCAATGGACTGTGAGCAGAGGGAACATGGCCCTTCTCAGAGCCCAGCTGTGTAGCAGCCCGTTCATTCCATGACAAGACAACCTTGGAATTGACACGTTCCGTATGGAACGGTTAAAGAAAAACATGATACATATGTTTTTGAATGGCATGCCATCTTCTAACTGGCTTATCCTTCTCAGTATTTCTATATGAGAAACTAAGGGTTTTGCAGAAGGGGAAAGAAAGACGAGAATGCAGACAATTGGAAGATGTGGATAAAGCTACAGGGCAGTTTTATAGAAAGGACCTCTGAGAAGCTAGAAACAGGGATGACTTGCGGCTGAGGAACTCTGGGAAATCTTCATGGATATGGAGTCCCTCTTGCTATCATTAAAGGACAGGGAAAATTGAAATAAGCCAAAGATAGAGAACAATATCTTTGCCTTCAGCAAAAAGAGAAATGAGAATGACTTATTTACATACTAAAATGTTTTTATTCCGATAAGGATTCAAAAGAATAGAAAAATAAATGAAATGAGAACCAGCTATTTTTTCACCCATTAGATTGGCCAACATAAGCCTGATAAACTCAGTGTAGGTCACAGAGTAGGGTTTGACTGTGTGTGACATGCAGTGGAAGGGTAACTTGGTATATTTCTGAAGATAAAATATTAAAATCTTTAAAAATGTGCTTGCCTTTCACACAGTGATTTCATGTCTACAGGGGTTTCTTCCATATGAGGATCATTGTATGCAGATAGTCCTCCTAATAAAAAAGCTTAAAAATACAAAAAATATACCCCAAAAAACAGGAAATAATTTAATACCTATCAGTAGGAGTTTGGTTTAAAAAAACACGAATAGGGTATATATGAGAATATTAAGTCTAATAAAATGTTGTGTATACAAACCCAATTGCCACGGAAAGATCTAGAACATTTACAGATTGGTTGTTTATTTATTTATTTATTTTTAGGGCTTTTTTGAGACAGGGTGTCACTATGTAGCTCAGCATGGCCTTGAACTCACTATGTAGCCCAGGCCTTGAATTCAGTGTTCCTCCTGCCTCAGCCTACCAAGTGCTGGAATTACAGGTGGGCATCACCACATCTAGCTAATATGGGATATTTGAGAGCATTGTGGACTTTGTGATCCAACTTTTAATATATGTGAGCTACCTATTGTCTTTCATATTTTTGAGTTAGAATTTATAGAATTATATAATGTCTAATTATACTGTCATGTATCCTTTATGTACATGCGTTTGACAGCTAGATTTAGATTTATATATATATATGTATATCCTTTCTCAATGTTTGCATATCACAATTTTATTAAATATGATTTTATGTTTTATGTAATATCATGAGTGATACTACTTTTTACTCTCATTTTTTGAATTCTTTACCGTGTGTGTGTGTGTTACCTGCATAGTAAAAAGAAATATATTTCAAAACAAAAAGGAGGGGGCTGGGGGTTTAACTCAGTGGCACCACACTTGCCTTGCAAGTGCAGGGACCTTAGTTTGATCCCCATTACTGCGAAAAAAAAGAGGGAGAAAAATGGTTTAGAATTTCAGTAAATTAGCTAACGCATGTCATTTTCAATCTGTAACCTTATTACTAAATTTCCTGCTGTGAGAATTTTATAAAATATGAAATTATTAAATATGAAACATTTGTCCTACATTAAATCAATCAGTTCATGTCTTTACTGGCCTTTATACTATTCATGATGTAAGTACACCTGTTGCTATTGTGTACTTGCTGCGGTGTGCCAGGAGGCAGCAAAAATACGGAACAAGAATAGGCTGGTGGACTTAGGAAATCTGTGGCAGTTTCTAGTAGATCAGGGAGTAAAAATGTTTCCCAGACCAAATTCTAATGAGAGATATATTTTGTTCAATCCATACCCCTTGACAAAAATATGAACTGTCTACCATCCCTTAAAACCGGAAGTTTTTTGTATAAAAATTCAGATCCCTGGCATCATGGCACATATTTCAGATCTGACCAGTGGGGTTGGAATTTGCATTCCTGCCAGGCAGCAATTAACTGGAAGGGAGTAGTGGTCCCTCCCTTTCGAGGACATACCGTACCTAAGTTTTCCAGACACCACCTGTAGGCCTCATTCCGGTTACCTGCCCAGGGTTTTTGCTAGGAAAAGAAAACAAATAGCAGAATGACAAGAGAAAGAGCCCTTGGCATTCAGCTTTCCTTTAATAGCCACTGAAGACTTGAAAAGAAGAAAACAACTAGGAAAAAGGCTACCTGTAAAAGCAGAGGAGAGAAGTTGGACCTGAAGAATGCTCGCCTTTCCTGTAATAGCTGATCATTAATGGCCTCTTTTTTCTTTTTCTTCTTTTTATGACATTGAATTACTGTCAGCATAGACTACTTTGGTCCTTTACTGTGATTTCTAACTCTTGCGTTGACCCTCCTGATACACCTCTGCTGAACATCTTGGAGGATTCCAGGTGAAGTTTCTTGATCAAAAGGGCACCTTGACATTATTGTTAAAATGCAAATCTTCTTTGTTTGATTTTTACAAAGGCTGAAGAGATAACTTTAACCATTGGCCAAGCATTTGACCTGGCATACAGGAAATTTCTAGAATCTGGAGGCAAAGATGTTGAAACAAGAAAACAGATTGCAGGGCTACAAAAAAGAGTGAGTAAACTAAGCGTCTTGTTTCACATTTGTATCGTGTACGTTCAGGGAGATTTGCGTATCATCAGACAAACCTAGGAAGCCTGCTATTAAGTTTTCCCCACACTGACTGGAACTGCCTTCACTGTGTTCCTGTAATTTTTCATTCCTGATCCCTCGCACAGTTTTTAACTATTTTATATTGAATTCCCACAAGAACTTAGTGTTCTCATGTGACTTTGCTTCACTTCCCGATGCTTCTCATGGGGATCAGAGCAGCAGAAGCAGCAGATTCTGGGTAAGTGGTTTCCCATGCAGATCAGATTCCTTTGTCATTAAATTACACCCTCTCTCCACTCTTCCAAACCATTACAGGCAAGTTTGACTGTCTTGTGGTTATTCTGCGAGATTGTGGGTACAGCTTGCACAGCGCAGCAAGAAACACAGATAACACATGAGGAACATCAAACTTGCTTTTACATAAAAATATATTTTATACTTACCACATCTTTCCAGTGATCTAGAATCCTCCAGTATTTCCCAAGTTGTACCAAATAATTTTCTCCCCTGCGTACAAGAGTATAAAATTTTCAGTAGCATCAAATGCTGTTGATGCCTGAAGTCAGTATGATAGCCAATGTCTTCCAAGAAAAAAAAATATGAAAATTATACATTGATCATTTACTTTTTAGATCCAAGACCTAGAAACAGAAAACATGGAACTTAAAAATAAAGTACAAGATTTGGAAAACCAATTAAGAATAACTCAAGTATCAACATCCCCAGTAAGTATATTAAATAGCTGTATGTTTTCCTTAGAGACAAGATATGGATATAACATGTCGCTGGATCACAAGCTCAGAAATAACTCTTTTTGAACAATAACTTAAAACTCAATATGCATAGAGATGATGCCTAGTAACCAAGATTAATTTAAAAATTATAATTACCTAGGTAGTGCAGATAAAAGTGGTTTGCTCTTGTGGCGCTTTCTCCTTATATTTCAACCCTTACTGGCATAGAGGTTTAATGTACTTTTGTCTTTGAGGTGTCTTGTTTCCTTTATCCCTATTGATTATTGTTTACTGAGGTTAGATTGAGACTTATGCCTGTCTGTCCCTGAGTGCTGGACTTCATTGTAGGAAATAGAATGGGAACTAGAATGAATATGGTTTCTTATACTACATAGCAACGGTTCCCACTGGGAGTGAGATAATTGATTTCAGACAGTAAAGCAAATAGTTGTCTCTATAGGCAGCACACATATTTATAGTTATATCATGTATTTCTGGCTTGCAGCAGTTTTGAAATCTTTTTTCCCCAGTATCATATATGCCAGCCGTATTATGTGACTTTGCCAAAAGTAATTTTTTGCAGGGAGGTAGAATTTAAAACAATATTTTTTCTGAGCAAATTGTATTTTCCACATGGTCTTTTTTCTAATTGATAGTCTTCATTAATGTGTACACTTTTTTATGCATTTAAAATATTTACTATGTAATTGAAGCATAATTATGGCTAAGTAAAGTTTTCAAAGAGTTTTGAAATATATATATATATATATATATATATATATATATGGTATGATATATAGGTCAACATACCAGCTCTACTTTTGGTCCCAAAGTAGAAAACATATCCTGTTACCGCTTGTTGAAAATATGTATAAGCTATGCTGTGAAACAACCTGAGAGTAACAGATAAAACAAGGACAATTTGTGTTTTCAAGGAGTCTTAGGAAGGTAGTTGTTTCTCAGATTCATCGCATGTGCTTGGTTCAGTCTATGTGATGATAAGGAATACAGTAGGTGCATTACCATTCGGGGTGCAAAGCAAAAGCTTGCTCTTTGTGTATTCTCTTCCTTTGAAGAAGGGATGACAAAGACATCTACCACATTGAGGGCTGGGATTTGGGAAGAGAAGAAAGGTTAGAATACATTGATAAAATTCCCACTCCCCTGTTTTTCTTGTCCCCTCAGAGCCATCCACTGCCCTAGTAGTGGGGTGACAAGGAGGGCATCAGTCAGGATGGGTGATAGGACTGTTTTGATCATCCCCTCTAATTGCCATGTCAGCTTCAGAAATGGTAAAGGACAAGCAAAATGACGAGATGTCCTTAATTTAGTTGCTTTGCTCTTTTATACAGGAAGCACAAAAGTTGGTATGCAAATGAAACACAGAACTTCTCCTTGGTAGAGTTAGTTGTAAACAAAGCAATGAAATTATTACAATAGCCAGTGATTATAATGGATTGATTAGCTCTTGTGATGTTAGGGCATTTAGTAACCTACTTTAGGCATTGTGTTCATCTCAGTATGAATCTGAATAAAATTCTTCAATCACTACAATTAAACGATTGACCTGAAAAAGAGAATATCTTCTGTAAATAATTTTTACACATATGTAGGTCATATTTGATCTTTATGCACATAATTCAAATTATGATTTTTTGCAATCCATGTTCTTCGTCTTAGCAATATCTTTATACTCTTTTATTTTAACTTTGAAAAATACTTGTTACACAAATTTTCCATTTCAAAAGTCTTATTATATGATGTGTGAAAGTTTTGCTACACAAGCTCCTTAAGGAAATACATGGAAAGCAGTACATTAAGGGAAATAAGCCGGGCACAGAAAGACAAAATACTGCATGATGGCACTTGTATGTTGAATCTAAAAATGGGGAACTCACAGAGGGAGAAAATGGAGTGGTTATTATCAGAGGCTGCTGTGGAGTGAAAGGAAGCATTCAGTATTTTGGTCAAAGGGCAGAAACTTTGTGCTAGAGGGGAGAAATAAATTCAAAACATCTAATGTGCAACACGATATGGTTCATAACGTATTGTGCACTTAAAAACTGCAAAAGCCTTTCAGTTGCTCTCACTACTAAGGACAGGTATGTGAAAAAATGAAATAGAAATTATTCTATTTTTAAAAGAAAATGAGTTATTAAAATTTAAGTGTAGAATCAAGAGTTAGTATTTAAAATGCAATTCATGACATATCTGATCCTTTTAGATGATTTTGAAAATGTGGTTGCCAGCATTCGTTAACGTGCTGTTAGATTTTAAAGATATTGTTAAATAGTTTACCTTTCATTTTTAATTTTAGTTATGTAGCTGTGAAATAAACTGATATAACACCAAGTACAGATACACTTATTTCATAACTATTAAAATAAGTTCCCAAAATTCTAATAAAAAATTTAGATAAATTCAGTTTGCCTGCACTTACTTAGTATTAAATGTTGCCATGCTTAAAAATACTCACTTTTCAAGCTCAGTTAGCAATTAAAACTACTGACATTGAATTTTTAAAACAATGGACAGCGTATACTAAACAAAGTATACATGATAGATGTGTCTCTCGCTTAATAGCTTGTCCTGTGGTTTATGCAGTGAAGCATACACCTATCCTGTTAACCTAGAAATGTTCTACATCTGCTCGTTTTTATGAGATTTGAGCATTAGTTTTACAGGACACAAAGCCAGAACACAAAGAACCTATTCATAGAGTGCTGTTATGGTTAACAGAGTAAGCACCTATAGAGCTCATATCTCTGGAAATGAGACCTCGCAGGTTTTGTTGGCATGTTTTGGTCTCAGAGGACCAAAGGATGAATACATCAAACTGCTAAAGTTCTCACCAGTGTGCTTAAAGAATCTGTATTCATTAAATACATACTGAAACAAGTTATGTATCCCATTGTGCACATTGCAATTACAGTGTAACCAGGTTTCCTGTGTCATTAATCTGGCACTGGATTCTTGGTGAGCCTTCAGTGTGCTTCTGCCAAGAGGAGCCCCCGGTACAGACACCTCTTCAGTGCCCTCCAGCCCAGTGCAGAACTCAGGTTTGCTTGCCGCCCACCACAAGCTCCTTTTCTGGCAAATGACACAGCCTTTGATAGTGCCCATTACACATATCCCCGTATTGCACAGAGACAGTGGAAATCTTTTCACTGGTTTTAGAAACTGGGTCCTTATTTTAAATGACCATTTAAATACACTGAGAAATTTCCATTGCTTCGTTGTGCTGTTTGCTTTCTGCTGAGTTCTAGTGGTTTGGCAAAAGATTAGAGGTTGGGTTTTCCACCATTTGGTACTAATTATCTAGGAACAATCTGATTTCCATTATTACATTCACATGGCATTATTGCCTGTATTTATATTAGAAAAAGGGTTTATTCTGCCCTCCTAGCCTCATGAACACCTCTAGAAAATTGTCCCGTCATCAGATGTGGGCACAGCAAGTTAAGTCAAATTGTTCCTCTTGACTCTTATGGTTGAGTACTTACATTTTGCTTTGCTTGCTTTAGAAAGTTTTAACCATGTCAGACTATTGCCTGGAAGCTAAATGAATAAAATTGTAGTTCTAAGGAATGCGGGATGTTCTATTGCTGAGTAAAATAAATGTCTCTCTTTCAGTTAAACCCAGCATTAGACACAATTCCCCCTTTACATAATTGACTGTGTAGCCACTGATTAGACTTCATAAGACAATTGTAACCTAAAATGTGTACCTCAGTGTGGGTAAACAAGCCTACTTATTTATTCTTCTGTAGTAGTTGTTTCCAAACTACTCTTGAAGTCAAGATGGACAAGAACAGATTGTGAAAACTCTCCATTATACAAGCCAAATGTGAATCTTTAAACAAAGGCATAAATTTCAAACATGAACATTGGTACAGGAACATTTGGTGCACAAAGAAATGATTACCAGCCCACGACTTCACTTTCAGAATTGCTAGTTGCACAGAAAACAATTGGAAAGAAGTAAATGCTGTCTAATGGGAAGTAAATACGTTTCTGTTCTGCTCTGAGTAGGAGTAACTGGACGAGTCACTCAGCGCTGCCTTACTTCAGCTTTCTGTGAGTGCTGGATGGCTGCACCCATTTTACTGGCAATCTAGTTAGAAGAGCTCTACTATAGTAGGTCTCACAGCTAAGGAATTAACCACCATAGACCTAGAAATCTGAAGAATGACATCTCCGGTGCTGTGAATTCTCATTACTATAAACAGATTATCTTAAAAAGCGACGCTGGATGTCATAAGGGTGAACTTTAGAAGAGTAGGTTAGCGGGCTATCTTGAGAGATCTGCCAGATCATTTCATTATCTTGCACCTTCTTCGGGGTTATTATAATCGTGCGGTTTTTAAACTAGAAAACTTTAATTAAAACACAAAACACTAAATTGCAAATTCATAAGTATTCACTTCTTTTTCTTTTTCTTTTGCAAATTTACCAAAATGAAAAAGGTTGGGGATCAAAAGGTGGGTGAAATGGGGAAGGAGGAAAAGTAAAGAAGATGATAAAAGGAATTAAGATGTGTTAGGTACTGCACCAGTTCCCCACAAAGACGATGAACATCATGTACCCTAAACATGTACTAATAGTAAAAATGGAGAAACAATTTACTTCTTAAAGATATTCCTAAATACATTTTTGAACCTCTACTATTTTCATAACTCACAAATCATGTTTTTATCTGAAAATTGCTTGTTTTAAAATGAGTCTGAAAATTATATTGCCAATGTAATTAGTAGCACAAAATACAATGTCACTATCATCCCAGTATTTCGATAGTTATCACCACAGAACCATTTAGCCTTTGACACATTTGTATTGTTGAGTTTACAGTATTTACTGGTATGAATCAAATAGCATTGTAGCGTTTTACCTTGTCACACGGACACAAAGCTGTACTGTGTTCTACATGGACCCAGCCACTACTCACTAGAAGGAGGAACTAAAGAACTACAGCAGCAGCACATCCGAAATGTGGAGCTCACTACTGATAGACCTTCATGTGACAGCTTCTGCATAATTTACATCCAATTTTTGAACACAGGATTCCTGTCAATAGAATAATTTAGATTCTATCCACGTTCTTGAAAAATCATTCTGCTTGGAGTTCTGAGCATAAGGGAGTTAGTTAAGTATCAGTGCTATGCACTTCTGTAGGGCATTCTAAAGTATTTGGTTTCTAGCTCTCTGTCAAAATACAAATTAAAGATTCCCCCCAAAAGGATCAGACTGGTTTTTTTATCTAAAAAATATGTATATATTTTAAAAAATGAACATCCTCAAGTAAATGAAATGTCATCTTTTAAAAAAAGACTAGCTCCAAAATCATTAATCTGAGTCACACTGCCCAAACTATTTAATGTAGTAGCAAAAATACCATTGTGTGGAATCAGACACATCTGAAATCCTTAAATATGCCAGGTTTACATTTCATCCCTAAAAGTAATGAGGTATTTTGTATGATTCTGTGACTTGAATTGTTTCTAGCTAAAAAAAAAGTACAAGTCCAAGTGTTAGCAGGGTCTAGGCTGTGACATAAACCTATGGGCAGGTAAATGTAGAGTTGAACGGGAGAACACAGGCCAACTCGAAAGATAGTAGATGTCTAGTGCCAACCACTGATTCTCATGCACATCTGTATGCTGACTCTCTGGGTTGCTGGAGAAAAACTCGGACTTTTAGCCTGCACTCACTTCATATCAGCTGTCAACAATTAATTCAGTGTTGTGCAAGACCTATGTTACCCAAGCAAAATGTGCCAAATTATTAATAACCCAAAGGAGACCTGTGAGAGAGTTGGAGTCCTAGCTTCATTATAACCAAAGTACCTGGCCTTGACATTTTAAAAATGAAAATACTTTTAAATGGAATATTTGAGTCTTTAATTATTTTCCTATTAGGTAAGTCCCTGACTTACAAATTTAAGTTGAAAGCTTTCGCAGCTCCTGGGGAACCTTGCATTACAAACATCCCTAAATGCAAATGAATCACAGCAGTCGCTGACGTGTCCTCTGGACCTTGTCATGGTCGTTCTGCTGTGGGCTTCCTGTGCAGTGCGAGAGCGCACAGTAGGACAGGGCTCACTCAGAGCCCAGGATGTCCGGAGGCAGGATGAAAAGCAGTGACAATGTGCAGGGGACTGCTAGGAAGGGCAAAGCTATATACACCATGTGTTTGTATCAAAGGCATGTAAGACTCACTTTGTCGGACAAATCTAACTTGTGAATGTTCTCCAGGCAGGGAACTTGTTCATAAGCCAGGGACTTGCTGTATATACAATCTTCCTTCTTATTGTAAGTGTAGCTTCCCAAAGAAAGCAATATTAGGAAAATGTATTGTGTTCAAACTGTGTTCAAAGTATGTTAGCTTATTTTGGCCTTTGCTTTGTGAAGACTGCGGGGGGAGGCAGTGTAGGCTATAAAAGAACGCAGAACATTTCCCTTTAGGTTTAAGCCAGGTGTCGTTATGACATCTTCCACTTCATATCTTCATATGTTTCCCTCAGGGTAGAATCCATGTCATTTGATACTTTCTGTAAATAAAATGCCACCTACATTATAGCACGCTAATGTGTGACGTAGGGCATTTTGGAGAAACAAAAGCTTTGACACCAGGAGTGCACAGTTCTGAGCTATACGTAAGTACAAGGCGACTACCAGTGACAGAATTATACAGCGGGCTGTGTAGACTGAAAACTTCATTTGCATTATCATTCTGTAGATAGCAAAGTTGAGAGATGTCACTTTGGAGATCAAGAAGGAAGTCGATAATTATATAACCATGTATGTGTGTCAATAAAGTCTTACGTAACTAAGGCCTTGAGGAGCGTTACTTCCACTCAACTCTTCCCTCAATTCTCCTCACTTTACACTACCTCCCTTCCCCTTGGCTTCAAGAATTGTGTGAAGAGCTAGCTTCCAGGTAAAGGATATTTCTCAAATTTGTTCCTTCTAATTCTCATTTTATTTTACAGTTTAACAGTGAAGTTTATCCAAAGTCAGAGATTTTACTCACTCCCTGAGTCCTCTTACAGTGTGGGAAATCTGTAGTGTGACTTGCAGCTCAGGAATCCAGCTCCAGACCAAAACCCTACATGGGATCTTTGGGCCCCATCACAGGCAGTTTCCAAGGCCACCACACTGCCCTCCCCAGCCCAGACTTGGCGCGTGGTTTGGAGCAATTGAGTCAGGCACTCGGATCCCTCTGGTGGGCCTTGATCCTGAGCATTCACAGCCTTCATTTGGAGGCCTCCTGTTGGGCTCTTGGGCAGTGCCTCTCTTTCATGATTCCAGCCAGACTGCCTCATTCTGGGGCCCATGGTGCCACTTTTGTCTTCTGAAATTTAATATTCGTTCCTTTTTCACATTTAGCCTTCCTCCCTTTTCCTGTCTCTGGCTCCTTGTTCAGGCTCCCTTCGTAGCCAGGAAGTGCCTTGCTCTGCGCTGGTCCTTCTGACCTTTGCCCAGAGCTCTTTCCCGGGGTGAGTGTGGGGGACTCAGCATCGATGGGACAGGCAGCTTCTTTCTGGTCTCCTATTTATGCTATTGCAGTAAGCGAATAAAGGCTTGATTATTCCTTCAGTTGTAGCCTTTGGTTCCATTTGACCCCTGTGGCATCAGGCAGCTCAGCTCTGTAAGGGAGACGACCCCTAGCAGTCACCCGGGAGCCTGGCATTCAGGCCCACTTCAGTGTACTGCTTGCTTATTTTTCATTATCTCTCTGATTTATTTGACATTCTTGACAACTCCTTCTTTCCCTTCCCAGAACACCTTACCATCCAGCACTCACTACTTACAGGAAGAACATGATGACAGAAATTTTACTGTTTTCAAAAGTAGCCTTGCTTGTTGGCTCACAGAGATGTAAGTCACACACACACACACACACACACACACACACACACACACACACACACAATTCTATGGGCCTTAATTCCTATTTGTCTATTATAATAAAAAAAATACTGCAGCCATTAATAATATTTAAAAGAATGCTTTGGGTATTAAATCCAAAATATCTATTGTCATCCTGTTTAAAAATTCTGCAGAAAAAATAAAAATAAAAATAAAAATTCTGCAGAGCTGTAACTTCATTGACAAGCATTTAATCCACCTACACTGACTATTCTTTTATTATTATCCTTTCTCTTTCCATTTCATCGCACAGGCACCCTCTCCAAGATAAATGTCAAGCTTTCCTCATTTTCTTCTCTAATTCTCTGCCTCCCAGGTCCCAGTGAATGTGATTTTCTATTTACAATGTCTAAAAATGTAATATTTCAATGAAAAATGATCAAACTAAGCAATTGAGAATCTCAGGGCTATCATAAGAAAAGTCAGCTTCAAAGATGTGTGTTAATTTTAGTGAAGTTATTATGAAAGTATCATCTCATTTTCACAAAGCACTCTTTCACAAATTAATTTTCACATACACATTTACGCGCCATGCAGTCCTACCTTTCTCCTCAGTGTGTTTCTCTTTCTGTCATTCCTTTACAGCCGCAGCACAGAATATCTGCTCATGAGCCACATGGGTTTCCGAGATGCTCTTCTTCTCTCTGGCGTAGTAGTGCTGATTCACCTCCCTCTCTAAATGTGTCTTCCATTTCTGTCACTCCTATCACCTCGCCTGATTCCAGACTGAGACTGTTAATACCACCGCCTTCTAAAAATGGCCTTCCCAAGCCTGTCAGTAAGAAGAGCATTCCAAGACCTCATGTAATTCACAAAGCAAATAATCCTGTATTACCCCCCGTTTGTTTGTTTTTTAATTATCTCCGAATGTGCTTTTTAAGGTAGTAATAAAAAGCCATGTTGTGTTGACTAAGTGTAATGGGATCTGGAGTCTTTGTGTGCATTTCTGTTTCCTAGATATCAGAGTTTCACGTAGTGAGTCGTGATGGTGGAGAAACCTGAAAGAGGAAATAGGTCAGGTACTTCACAGGATGGATCAGATACAGAAGCTACAAAATGAGGTCATTGGTGATAATGGCTCAAAGCAATTCCAGTAGACTTCAGAGTTAAAAACCATAAAGCCTTGATTGATCTGTGTTCAGTGAATGAAATAAAAGTTAGGACAGGAAGACTAGTGATTCTTTCATAGAGCTTAGTCCTGAAAGGACCAGGAAGAAAAACAGAGATTGGCGGAGTAATGAGAGACAGGAAAAACATTTTTGGCTATGTTTTGTTTTCAGTGATAGACAGTATTTGAGTATTTTTATGTAGTAAGGAGAAGAAAGATTGAACCAGAAAAGATAGAGGGCTGAGAGGAGTAGGACAACAGTATTCCTCAATAAGAGGAAAGGGATGAAGACATGATAAGGAAATTGTTCAAGAAAGTAAACAAATTGACACATTTCCCTGTAGGAAAAGATGCACTAGTAATCATTTTCCCTGAATAGCAAAGCTATCACTCTCTATTTCAACCTATTTTTTCATCACTTGTATCATCCATGAATCAGAAAAGTAATATATTCTTAAAACTCTAATTTTATGAACCCATTAAAGTAATCTCTTTCCATGCTCTTATAGGAAAATTAAAATTGTCTTCTATTCCTCCCCAAAATGGGAATTCTCTTTGATTCCTGATCAAGTCGGTGGTTTTGATAGATTTTACATGTATTTTTTCCCATTTGACAAAGTGATGATTGTGTCACTTTTACACACTTCATTCCACAATTTTATACAATTTTTATTTGTGTCTCCCTATGTTTATTCAGTCTTTACCCACATTGGATAAGTCAGCAATTTTTGTGGTACTTTCATGATTATTTAGTTTACAGGATAGCTATTCATTACAGACAATATGATTAAATTTTACAGGAATGAAATCCTGCAATGAATAATAGTTGCTGTGCTCATAAATAGGAGTCAAAATATATTCTACTTTTAAAAATGTAAAATAAATGTTACTTGCATTTGAGTATTTATAGGAAGATAAACATGTTCAGTGAAAAGATAAACACGTTTAATTATTTCTCTCTAAAACAAAATTTTATGTAAAGTATATTCCTGAAATCGTGCTTTATATACATAGAAATGTCAGATATTTCTAGATACACAAAAAAGCTTACGTCTGCTCTACAGTCATCCAGAACGATACTGTCACCATTTGTACCATCATCTTTGAGAACGTGTTTGTAGAAATTTTTTATTCCTTTCTTGCAAATGATGACCTGGCCTAACAATTTGAACCATTTGAATTATTATTGTGTAACTATTATTGATCTACAAAATGGCATGCTTACGTGATTCAGCTGGATTTGTTGCTCCCACATGTTTCTTGTGCATGCAAAAAACTTGTCTTTACAATCTGTCCGTGTGAAGCTCTCCCCTAATTTCCATTCTCTCCGTTGCAGGCAGGCAGTGTGGCACCTCGGTCACCCTCCACTGACGTCTTCGATATGATTCCATTCTCTCCAGTTTCAGACCAGTGTTCAGTACCTACTCGCAACGGCACACAGCCACCCCCAGTACCTAGTAGATCTACAGAAATTAGTAAGCTTTCCAAAGAAATCAGTGTTTCTTGCCATTATTGGGTACTTTGTGAATGTTTAAGACTTGCTGGGAGGTCACATTTCTTAACAAGCTCACTAACAATTTTTATAAAGTATTATGTTTTATGTATTTTTCCAAATTCAATTCTACTTAACTTTCATATTTTAGAGACACCTCTACTTGCACTTTGAACCTATTTTATGAGAAATGATATGGCGATGGTTTATTTAAATAATAGAGTAGTTTTAATTGTGTATTTAATTCATTTTGAATGATATTTTAATGTTTTACTTTGTTAGAAACAAACTGATGGTAATAATTTTAGTCATTTTGGCATGTTTAATAGAACACAGCTTAAATATGCTGTTATCATAGGATCTGGGGCCCAGAATTGAAAAGTATATAAATTATATGAATGCCATGATCTGTTTATATAATCACCCTATGTAAGGGCTATTTTTTTTTCTTTTTGTGTGAAGGCATTGCTTTTTTGTTTTATCTATTTATCGGTAGAGAATAGCAAAGTTAGCTTTAGATGAATTAGAAACCATCCAACAAATGCTCATTTTCAGTGTTTTGACTGTATATTGATCTGTACCCTTGTCACAGAAACTGAAAGACTAGTTTCTTTTTTTCCTCCTTGAATGTATTGGTACTTTTTAGGTATACAGTACAGTTATATTCATCATTGGGCTCTTGTACCTTTACCTGACTGATATTGGTTCTCATTTTTTCCCCATTCCCCTGCCCTCCCTTCACCCCCTCCACCCTTCCCTATTTACAAAGACTTTATTTCAATTTTTCCCTTTTCTTATATTTTTTCTTTTCCCTTATTTCCTTTCCTCTACTCTTCCCACTTCCCCTACACCTTTAGCCCTTTTCTTCCTATTTCACATTGTCAAGTATTACATTTGGATCTTATTCACACTTTTAGTTTTTCACACCAGAGAAACCATTCGGCATTTACACATGAAAGACTAGTTTCTTATGATCGTGAATCAGTCACTAAGCCCAAGGAAAGCTGAAGAGATTTTACATGTTACATTTCCTTGCATTTGCTCTTGTTTATATCAAGACATTCTGAGTCTTCAGTATACGGCAGGGCCTATAGTTTGTTTCTCCCTGTGGAGCTTAACAAAGTACATTGCTCATATTGTGTGAGCAGTATGTGTTGAATTACTGATGAATACGTGTGTAAGTACAAAATGACATTACCTTGAAACTAGCATACAAAAATTACTGTATTTCAAAGCATTGACTCAAAATAGACACTGGATGGGCGAGGATTTTTAAATAAAGCCTCAAAAGCCTAGGAAATAAAAGCAAAATAGAGCAAAGGGATTACATCAAACTAAAAAGCTTTTGCACAGCAAAGGAAGCAGCCAAAACAGCATGAAATAGTGATCTACAGAATGGGAGAAAATACTTGCAAAACTATTTGTCTGACAAGAGATTAACATTCAGAATATGTAAGAAGCTCAAGCAACTCAACAGCAAAAAACAAAACAAAAAACCAAATTACCCAGTTGATAAATGAACAGTAGACCAGAATAGGAATTTCTTACAAGATAGCCGAATAGCCTACAGTGTTTAAAAATGCTCAATATGGCCTATTATTAGGGAAATTAATATCAAAGCCACAAGGAGATTCACTTCACTCCAGTGAGAACAACTATTAGAAAAAGACAAAAGATAACAAGTGCTGGCAAGGACGTGGAGAAAAAGGAACCTTTACATGCTATTGCAAGGGTGGGAATACTGATTACTTCAGCCATGATAAAAAAGAGTATGAACATTCCTCAAAAATTTACAACTAGAACTGCTCTGTGTTCCATCTATCCCAGTAGTTGGTATGTGTCCGCAGGAAATGAAATCAGTATGTTGAAGAGACATCTGCACATCCTTGTTTATTGCAGAAATATTCACAATATTTAAAAAAATAGAAACAACCTAAATGTCCATCAAATGATAACTAGATAAAGAAGATGTACTAAATATGCAAAATAGAATACTATGCAGTCATAAGAGATAAGATTCCAATTTTAATCCTACTTGACATTTATATTGAGAACAGTGAATAAATTTGAAGGTATTTAGAAGGAATTATTTTATAGAATGCTGACTGAAAGTAAATTATAGTGCAGGATTTTTAATCAAACATTGTTCACAGCAAAATAAGCAGTAGAGAAGGAAAATGCTGAGTTTTGTTTTAAATGTTGTTAAGTTTGGAAGACCTAGGCCAAGATCATCAAATGGTTTTAAGGAATAAAGTGAGAAACTGAAATAACACTTTGCTATATTTTTCACTGTTTCTTCTTACTTATCAAAGTTCAGTAAAAATAGATAAATGATAGATTAACCACGTAAGGACATGTTGTCCATTCAATTGCAGTTACCAATTTTTTTGAAAACTTTAATCCAGCTGGGTTCCAGATAAGGAATTTTTTCTCTAAATGGACTAATAAATGTATTTATTTTTTGATCATTATTTACTTAAATACATAAGCAAAAACTTACAAGATTGACCTCTAAGGTTCTCTCTTTAGTGCCTGAGAATCCTACTAATTCCTCAGAACATGTTTGCAATCCTGTTTCTCACTGAGATGAATTTGTGTTTCCCCTTTGAATACACATGAGACTTTATTTTATTTAATAGCCTCTTCTCTATTTAGGTATAAATTCTATAGGGGAATGAACATGGTCCTTTCTTCACTATTTTAATCTGTTGCCCAGCAAAATACCTGGCAAAAATAATTCCTGAATAAAGTATGGCCTACTTGTTTTTATTCTGGAACCCCTGCATTAGATGCAACTAATTTTAATGTTCGCTACATAGCCATCTTTTCCATCGAAATTGAACTTATGATTTTGTTATGGATTTTAGACCCATCTGAGCTGATCAGAATATACCAATGAGTTCTGCAATGTTTATTAATTTACATGCAATTAATATCTTTACTAATATGTAGTGCAGTTGCTAACTTGTGGAGGAATCATGGATTCTGGAGAATGAGTTAGAAACTTCTTCACAGAAAAACACAGCGAACTCACTCACCCCAGTTACACACTGTGTTTCAGGACTATGGAGCACTCCTTGAAGCCCACCTGAAATCTCTAAAGATACCTGAGTCCCAGTTTAAGAAAGTCTCCATAATAAAAAATCTCTGTTTCCATGTTGAGCAATTCTTCTCCTTCATGAATTCATTTCTTTTGACAAACCTTGTCTTAGTTACTTTTCTCCTTGCTGAGACAAAATGAATGACACCCAAAGTTAAAGGAGAAAAGGGATTTTTCAAATCACAGTGTGTAAAGGTTTCCCTCCTTAGTCAGCTAGCTCCAAGGTACTGTGCCGTGGAAGAGGGACATCACAGAGGAGAAACAGTTCATGGCAGGCAGAAGGCAGTGAAGCAGCAAAGTAGTTAAAACAGCTTCTTTCCGTCCTGTATATTCCATTCAGGCTGCCTGCCCTTGGGTGGGTAGCACTCACACCCAGGGTTGAGCACTCTTATTGCAGCATCACACACTCTAGATCCAGCCACCTCCAAAAGGCCCCACCTTTGACTGCATGAGTGTTTAGAAGACATCTGGATGCGAGACATAGCACACCTGCTACGTGAACAGTACTGCTCAGTACGTTTGTGGTATAGTGGTTATCAGGACACTCTTTCAAAGAGGATTTTCTCAGTTCCCTTAAATTTGATGTACTCCAGAGTCACATCAGACAAAGGGAAGAAGTAATAAGACCAGTAGTAATCTGCATTGGTGATATATTAGGTCATAAACTCCCATTTGTTCAGGACAGCTCCAGCTTATAGCATTTGTCTCAGTGCAACTATTAGGAGTGCTCCTTTCACTCCTAAGTCACAATTAAAGTGACTTTAATCGATGCTGTATTATGTGTCTCTCCCATTTATATGACATTTACTGGTGCAAGAAACTTCCAAGCAGTTTACCATCTATAAATTTAATACAAGAAATTGGAAAAAAACAATCAAAACTGGAAAGCAAAAATCCTTCATAAGGAATCACAGAATAATTTTTGAGAATGTGGTAGAAATAAAATAGAAAAATATATTTGTTCTTATATATCATTGTATTTAGAGAATGTATATCACCTTCCCAAAGCCTCTTCTCCAAGCACAAGCCACTAGGGAACAGTCTATATCTAAAATGTAATAGGTTTTTGATACTGTATGCCTCCAATTTTTAAAAAATAAACTTGTTTCTGATGAAGGAGGATTTTTATTTTTAAAATGTCTCATTGTGATTGTCTATAAGATGATAAGATTTCATACTTCATGAGATAATGTGCCTCATGTTTTCCCTGGATAGAAAGTAAGCTAAAAGCACATGGTCTCTGAGCAAATCTACCTACTGATTTACTCAGTTCTACATATTGATATTACTGTTGTGTTGCAGAACAACAAAATATGAGAATAAGAGAAATTTCAATGAGTTTTTTTCCGGTAAACTTTAGTAAATTTAAAGTGGTGCAAAAATGTAGGGATTAAAATGCATTGTTAGTAAATATGTAGTGACTGATAGGAAGTTATTATTGGAAACACAAGACCTCTCTGGATAATAATTGTTTGTAACTAAATAGTGTTGACTATCACAAACAGATCTTTGCACCCTTATTTAGCCTCACCTCCAGAGAGCGTGACATAAAGTGTAGGGACAGGGAGACCATGTTCACTTACATACATTTCCCTGCCTCACATAGCCCAACTCAGTTCTTGTCATTCCATTCACCAAGTATTCTTTTCTTGCTTTTAGAACGGGACCTGTTTGGAGCTGAACCTTTTGATCCATTTAACTGTGGAGCAGGGGATTTCCCTCCAGATATTCAATCAAAATTAGATGAAATGCAGGTGACTATTTTAACAGATTGGACAATAAATGGTTTGTTTCTTTTTTTGGTACCAGGGATCGAACTCAGGTCCTTGCACTTACAAGACAGCCCAGCGAATCACTGAGCTAAATCCCCAGCCCAGTTTGTTTCTTTTTAACCTGGGAGAAAGAAAATCTTATATATCCAAACTAGCCTTACCTTGATATGTTGTTCCCATACAAGCTTCCTTAAAATAATTACTTAAAAAAATAATTGCACTTATCCCTAAAAATACTTCTACACGTGCTAAGGATTAAGTTGTTAGTTTTCTTAATAATTTAATTTAACATGGAAGGAAGATGGTTCGTTTTTGTATACAAGATGACATAGCTTTTAATGGTTTGTTGTTTTGAAATCCAGAAATTAAAAAGTCAGTGCATTCCACTTATAAGGTTTGATCTGAGTCTTAACAGTTATGAATTTTAAAATTGTGAATGAGAAATGAGGGACAATCTTTCTCAGAACAAAATTGCCCAGTCTGAAAAGAAGCATTGTAACAATTTTTGAGTTCTTATTGAAAAAGCAGACACCAGTGACGACTTCTTTAGGAATGTAGTCCACTTGGGTTTTCTTGTCTGTCTCTTATTTTTGAATTCTGAGTTGGTCTAGATCTTTGAAGAAATAATAAGCCATGATGAGTAAATATCCTTACAAGGGTTAAAGACTGCTATTTATATTCACCCTTTACATTTTGATGAAACGATTATGGCCTACTTTTCATCAAAAAGTTTATATATGGTAGGATCCATGCAGGCACCAATTGTGTGAAGCTGCTTGAGAAGACATTATGAAGACGGGAAAGTAAGCTGAAGGAGGTATTTCTGTTTACAAGCCCTAGTCTCATACATTCACTTTCTATGTTTTCATTTTCTCCCTACCACCCCCACCAAAAAAAAAACCCCAAAACTAATGGGTGGACTTGAATCTAACAAGAGTAAATACATTCTTTCCCTGGAAACATGATGTAAATACCCTTCTACTCATGTGCAATTACAGCTCTCTTCTGTTTCCTAAGTATTATGTGAAAGTTTTTAGCATTTATATTTAGATTTAATAACATGCCTGGGTTTTAATGGTTGAAATATTTAATACATATCTTGAGCTTTTTTTCAAAGAATGTGTTATAACATTGTCTCAAGTTGGATGATTTCTAATTCCCTTTTACATAAAAATATTTTAGATGCCTAAATTTCAGTTGCTATAGAATTTTCTACATATTTACCACAAAAGTTATAAACAGCTTATTGCAGAGTTCTTATGCAAATATGAAATAAAAATATAACTAAGTAAAAGCAACATACAGTAAAATTCATATTAAGACATTTAATGTCACAGATGGAATGCCATTATTTGTCTTAAATCACCATATCAAATTTCTGTTTATATCAAAATGTATCCTGCCTGATGGCATAAATTTTCCATTTTTCAAGTAGTGTGACGCTTTCAGTGAAATAGCACATGATTAATTAATGAGAACACTGTATTTCACGTGAAGTCTGTTCCTACACTTTTTCATTCCTTTTGAAGTTGGCCTGCTGCTACCTGAGACGAATGGATTTGGAGGAAAGAGCACATACGGGTCCCTGAGGGGTCGTATTGTTCTTTAGGGTGATGCTCATCACAAGTACTACTTTCCAATGAAAGTTGTTTTTTTAGATATCACAAAATTGAAAAACTATGTAAAGTTTTTTGTTGTTGTTTTTTGTTTTTGTTTTTGTTTTTTTTATACCGGGGATCAAACTCGGGACCTTGCACTTGAGAGGCAGGTGGCGGAACCACTGAGCTAAAACCCTGGCCCCTGTAAAGTTTTTAACATATAAGTGTCTAACTCCAGATTTTTGTAGTAACCAAGTTTGAGAAACATTACATAGGATGGCTTGGTGATGTGTTATCTAAATAATGTTAAACTGTGGTGCTTTCGTTGTTGTGTTTGCTGTTGCTAATATTTTCTCACTATCTTCTTTTTATTCTTTTCTGCTTTCATGTTGGGTAGCGCCAGAGATGGTTGGTATATTATTTTCATAATAATTTTAAACAACTTATAACCATTTGAAAGCTAAAACTTTAATACTTGCATGATTTATTCAATAAATAAACAGCAGTTCCATATGGGTGTGTCTGAGTATTAACTGTGTTTACAAAGCTTTTATAACCTACATTTGAAGGTTCTTTTTTATGATTTAGTCACTACTGAATTGTTTGCATTATTGCTTGTTTCTTTTAGTCTACAATTAACTTGCAGGGCCACTTTAACTAAAATAAAATAATATTTCTTGACCTGAATAATATGTTGAGTTTTGTTATTAATCTTGTCATGCTAATTAATCTAATGCACATATTTAGCACTATTTCTCTAGGTATCCTATAAAAACAATACAGTATAAGTTCTGAATACTGAATTGAACTAATAAGTTTAGTGAAATAGTCCTCTTTCATTTAAAGAAGGTTGCGATTAATCTATTCTTAAAGTAATTGAATTGTTTGAAATCACAAAAATATCTACTGAATGCAAGAATTTAAGCAGAAATGTCATGTTTTACTTTAATAATTAGAAAATTAGATGTTTATTTGAAATCAGTAATACAGTAATTTGATCTGACAATTTAAACTGCATGGCATGTTTATCTCATAACTCGAACTCGGGACCTTGCACTTGAGAGGCAGGTGGCAGAACCACTGAGCTAAAACCCCGGCCCCTGTAAAGTTTTTAACATGCAATACAAGTGTCTAACTCCAGATTTTTGTAGTAACCAAGTGTGAGAAACATTGCATTAGGATGACTAGCAAATAGCGTAGTACTGATGCAGCAGGAGGATAGTACTGATAGTTTATTTTAGGAGCTATGATAATGTAATACACCAAAACAGAAGAATGGCAAATCAGTGAAAGATGAAGAAAGTATGCATAACCGATGCTAAATCAACTAGTTATAATTTTGGAGAAGTGCAATCAGTGTACAGGTGAACTTACAGGAATACCCAAATTTTACAAGCATTAGGCCTTTAAACACATGAGGAAATCATCGAATGTACATTAGACTCTTGAATTATAGAAAAAAATTTATAGGTGAAATATGTAAACATTTTGTTTTATAAAAGCGTTTAGAATTTTCTATTTCAGAATATATAAACACATTACCTCTACCTATTAAAACAAGTAGGCAAAAAATTAAAACACTTAACAATCATCAAATTAATAGAAATACGTAGTTCACGTAAGACCACATATGGCCAACATATATGTAAACATGTTCCATGTAATCAAACTAAAGGCACAAAAAAGTGTAAATGCCTGTTTGGTATAGCAATTTAACAATTTCATTTTCTAATTAATAATCAGTAAAAGTGAAAATGTAATAAACAAACATTCTAAATCATTGCTAGGCCAAGGTTAGTTCATAATATCCCTTTGGGGAGTAATTTTTATTAATATTTGTGTTTCTATTTGGTATCAAAATCTGTAAAACAATATTTCTGAGGAGAAAATAATTATAAATTTATTGTCTCTGTGTGCAAATAATCTATTAACCTTGTTCATGATTGTGAAGCACTAGAAACAAATGAGTTATTGTAAAACTTAATGATATACAATGATAAATTAGTTTTCCAGTAACTTTAATACAGACTTTGAATTTTGTTAAGATTTTCTATTTGTTAAATAGAAAATTATAAATATATATGCAATACATTATAAATATAAGAAAATTATTCATGTCATAATTTAAATAACAGGAAAATTCGAAGCTCAAAGGTTATAACTCAGCAAGTAATAGGTGTTGTATATTGTCCTAGTTACTTTTCCATTGCTGGGAGAAAAATACCTGACACCCGCAAGTTAAGACAGGAAAGGTTTATTGTGGCTCACAATTGATAGATGTTTGAAGACACAGTCAGCTGGCTCCAAGTCAAGATGGGGTCACAGAGGAGAAAAGGTGCATGGCAGGGTAGGCAGGAAGCAGCCTTCCTTTCCCTTTTCTCCCATCTGGGCTACAAGCCTGTTGGGTGGTGCCACCCACGCCTGTGTTGTGCCTTTCCCTTAACCACACCTGGAACTATGCTAATCCAATCAATGGACTAATTTTATTATCACACCCTTAATCCATATTCACACACTCTAGATCCAACCACCTTTGAAAAGCCCCACCCATGAGCACTGAAGCTTTAGGAGGGTGCCTCGAGATGCAAGCCAAAAAACATAAATTTTTTCCCACCTTCATATGCTTTATTTTCAAATGGGAGAATGAGACAAAATAACCATTCTTCCATATAAGTGAAATGTTTCACATGAGAGCTATGATTAAAATTTTAATCAATTGTAAAATCATTCTTCTTGTGATGTATTAGTTTATGATAATTCTAATCTCTACATGAGATAAATAATACACATGTTTTCAGAAGTTTAAAATCCAGGAAATATGGAAATATTAAAAGATTTTGATTTCATTAAATTATGATTTATAAAATGAAATTTCTGAAGGAAAGTCACAAAATATATGAGAAATTTATTTTAGGAGGAAAGAAAAGCAAAGAACTTCATAGTAATGTATCTGTCAATTGGGTTAATTAGGTAAATTTAAAGGCACTCAAAGTACCCTTAAAAAATCAGCATAGAAATAAGTGATATTCAAATGCTTTATTATTGAAATAATCACCAACATTTATTTTTCTGATTGCTTTTCTGCCTTTCCAATACTGATAATACATTGATAAACACTATTTTCAAGATAAGTGAAATAATGTTGGTTTAATGTCAAAATGAAACAATACACTTTAAAAACGATGAATGGTTTCAAACCATCCCAAAGGTAACTATTTATTTATATAGTATCACAGCTGTCATTTATCTCTCATTTATAATACACAAGAAGATGACATCGTGCATAGCTCTTCAGATATCCACATAAAATAAGTTAAGGAATTGTTTATTTATAATATTTTCAGTTTGCAGTATTCACTTTTCAAACTGTTTGGTGGCTTTTGGAAAGACACATAAATGAGATGAAGTGTTTCTTTCTGTGATAATAACAGGTTTTAAAAAATAATGATGAATACGCTGAACATTACCCACTTGAGTATACTTAATATGCCAGGTACAGGGCTGAGATTAGAAAACCTTTGTGGTGAGGACAGTGTTATGTAGTCTCTGTACTATAAACATAATGAAGAATGTTCTCTCAAAATTACAAGCGAAGTGTGGCTTACAGCTTTTTAAGTACTTCTTCCTCTATCTGTTCATGTTTACTTAGATCTTGTACAAATATAAATACATTTAAATTCTTATTCTAAATGAAAATAACCAAGGCACCGCCACACTTCTACAAGGCAACCTATAATGTGACTTCTAGTGCCACTGATCAACTCAAGTCAGGGGTTTTCCTCTCTGTAGCCCAGTGTGCATCGATTCAAGGCTCGGGGTGGGGGTGGAATGAGATGGTGAGAAAAGAGATTGCGTAAAAGTAATTCATTGCAAAATTCATTGCAGTGACAGACATATGCTCCATAAGTCAATGGCCACTTAACTTCTAAAACATACTCACAGTACCAGTCTACTAAAAGCAGTAGCAGGGCTGTGTGGGAAGCTTAGGCTATTATTTTATGAAGGAATTATTTTATGCAGCCCCTGGGTGGTGGAAAGCAGGAAGAAAATACGAAAACTAACTGTCTTCAGGGGTAGCTATTTTAGTCATGTTTACATTAATAATGATCTTGAAAGCCTACCAAATAATTTAAATTACAGTAGAATAATAAATATGTTCTTCTGTGACAGATTCAAGATTTAAGACTTAGAATTATTTAATTTTACATATAGCACTTTTCTTCTGATTCTCATGCGTGCTAATCTGACATAGTCTTAAAACATTAAAATGTTAGTAAGTGTAAAAAATTGCCTTAAAAAAGATACCTTGATATAAAAATTTGATAAGCCAACACTTGTCAGGTAATTATTTTTTAGTTGATCAAAGGACAAAGATTTGTACTTCTGTTCATAGTCACTTTGGCTTACTGATTTTATTTTATTGTAATTTGTCATCGCATTTTGTATTTTAATGATTTTTATCCTGTTTTACAGGAGGGGTTCAAAATGGGACTAACTCTTGAAGGCACAGTATTTTGTCTCGACCCATTAGACAGCAGGTGCTGATGTCGGCAAGGAGAGAGGTCTCCTTGAGTTCTACTTGTTTATATCCGTATCTATAGTGCATTATTACTTTGAGAAAGGTATTATAAATGTGCCAATATATTTTGAACATCTTAGCATATTTTGAAAACTATTGCTGTAAAATTTCTTCACAGTGTTGATCTGCACCTCTTACTTCAAAAGCAACTTAGAGTAATGTTACTTTTACATTTCTTCTTGTTTCTGTTGTGAACAAATTTGTAATTGAAACACAAATCATCCCAATAATCTGCCTAGCTTGTGGTCTAAATAATTAGCATCTTGAAATTTGAGTTCATTCTTCATGATGCTAATTTACTTCTCATGTCCCAAAAGCCAGACCTTAAATGGTCACTTTTAAAATTCTGAAGATATATACCAATGTTCTATTTTCAAACCAATAAAAATATTACCATTCAATGGATAGATGTCATTTTATATATAAAATGCTGTCCACATCATTAGGAAAGTGTTGACTTTGAATTCCATGCCTCCTCTCCACTAATATTTAGCTGATAAAATAAATACATAAATTCCAATAATAATTAAATCAAATATATTTAGAATATAAGATAATAAGCAAATACAAGGTAATAATATTATGTTATTAAAAATTAGTCTGTAAATTATTTGTTTTATAAATAATGACTGGAAAACAATACAAATTTACCATTAGTAAAATTCTTAAAATCTCATTTCTAATGCATAGTAAACATCACTATAAATTCTAAGCATTATCTGAACTGATACTCCTTTAAATGTATTTGAAATATGTGCTGTGTATAAGTACAAGGCCTATTATGCCCACTTACTTCTCATAATATGGAATATTTTCATAGTCTCCTTTAAGAAAGATATTTTTTTCTCACCAAAGTTTATTTTGTGATGCCCCACTGGTTTTGATACTTTAAAATGTATGGCAGTGAAGTATCAAAGTATTTAGCAATATGATCTATTTCTTTTGTTGAAGTCAAATTTCGTTTTTCACAAAATTCAAGTTTCTGCTTAGCTTCATCTTAAAGTGAGCAGTGAAATTCCTTGGCACCTTATTCTTGACGTGCCAATGGAAGCTGATGGACCTCTAAAGACATTTGTCACCTGTACCTTTGTCCACTATTTAACAGAATAACAGCAACAGTGCGACAAAATTTTATAGTCAGCATTTCTAATGTGATTTATCAGTTGAAAAGCAAAATGAACTATGAAAACGTGGGCTTAGTTAGGATGTAGCCATCAAAAATGAATAAATAGATTATTTTACTCATGGAAGTTTTCTTCAAGTTCTGAAGGTACATTTTCACTAGGAAAACAAATCACATATGCTCATGCAATATTATATTTGTGTGTATCTCTGTAATGTTCTATGGTATATGCAAGCCTTCTTGTTTGAGTTGTTACAAATTGTACCTTATTTAGGGGGTAGTGGATGTTTCATAAGGAAGAGTCTTTATAATTTTGTTTGTCATATAGTATTTTGGAATTTATATAATGAGAAGGTTTTGGAGCCATATGTATGGCTTATTTTTAACAGATAGAATTTGTATTTTTATTGTACTTTAAAAAGCTTTATGTAACAGGTATATATTTAGTGGCCATTTATTATCAATGGTAACACAATAGTACTAAAATGATATTTGCATATTTAAGGTATGTTAGTTTGCCAGTTTTTTATGGTAATCAACTCTGCTACTGGCATGATTAAATAGTACATAATCAGTCATCAATTATGAACATTTACTTCACCAGTTCCTTTTTATGAAGCTCTGGTTAAAAGCTGTATTTCTATGTAAACGCAATGATATGTTTGATTTTGCCGAGAATAAATCATTTTAAATAAATTAAATTGTAAAACTTATTAAATAATCTCTAGACATTCTAATAATATTCTTTACCTAATAGACTTTCTCCCTAAATTGGAGGAAGACAGAGCGGATGCACTTTATTCTTCATTTCTCACAGCCTGCACACACTTTCGCTTTATGAGCAAATATAATTCATATGTGAAAACACGGATGTGATCCTGCTCGTGAGAGAGGTCATCATTTAGTTCCTGTCACCAGGAGCATGTGGGGTTGCAGTTGCTTTATATAAATATCATTTTGCACAATTGAGGGCTCCTTTAGTCAAATAAAAATGCAATTGGTATCTTGGCTGATATTTTTGAAAAGTGGGCTTGGTAATAAGATTTGGGTCATGGCTACTTGTGGAATCATGAAAAAATCTGCCCTTGTCCAATATGTGAGGTCATAGATTTTGGAGACACACAGCTTCCATGTGTGTAGCCTTTATACACTGAACAGTTCGTCAGTTCATTCAATAAAATCCTTTTATTACTCACTTTAGGTAATTAGCATATATTATGCTTAGCATATGAGAAAACATCCAATGACTTTGCAAACAGATGCTGTTAAATTAACAAGATTCCTGCCTCAGTTTAGTGTTATTAAAGGAAAAATAAGAAAAACACATGGGTTCATGAATGAAAACCACCATGCCCCATAAACTGAAACCTTCCCTGGGAACATTTGTATTTAATTATGTTTAAATTAGGATACTTTGATCTAACTAGTGTCTACAGGGCAACATATCAACAGGACAGTTCAATACAGTAGAATGGCAATAGTTTTCTTCATCTCTTCTTGTTTGTTATATTTTGGATTTGGAGTTTTTCAAAAAACTTAAAGGAATCCATTTTGAGATAGACTCTGATAGAATTTCCTTTTCAAATGCTGATGTTTTTTATTCTTTTTGATGTTACCATAACCATGAAAAAGCTGGCTGCTAATAATTTCTATTCCAGGATTTCCATCTATATTTCCAAATTCACTGTTTACTCATGATTTTGGGTTTCAGCCTTTGCTAAATTCCTTGGAGAATCTTGGACTCAACTTGGACAATTAAATCTCAGACAACACCCAAACTCCACATTTTGCAGGCAGCAGACGAACTGTGGATATGAGTATGGCTGGTTTTGTCCTTGGGCCCCTGTATCTCAGATAGGACATGGCATCTCTTTCCAAGGTAACTTCAGATGGATCTTTCAGGAGCCTGTCCCTCCAGTGCCTTCCCCACCAAAGTGACAAAAATTTTAACGCCACTATACTTGCTCCATGTTGCTACCTAAGATCCAAGTTAAGCTACTTCTAGAATTCCCTCACCCAAAGCATAATTTTTCTTAAATTCATCTAAAGTGTGTTTCCTTCACTCCAGCGAAGACATCAACTCCTAAACTCTCGTGTGGTATTATATTTCTTTGATTTCAAGTAAATTTTTATGAAATATGGATATTATTTACATAGCAGACTGTGTTGTCTCTTCCTTTATTCACTTTTCCCTCTCTATTTCATAGATTCTAAGCAATACTATTTTCCAAAATCATCGTGCAATAATGTACAAAAAAAAGACATAATACCTAAGAAGGAATTGAGCTTAAAGACTCATTCTTAGTTTTCTGACAATACATGGTAAATTTAATTGACAAATTTCTTATTTGTTTTAAAATCAGTCAATATTATCATACCTCCATAATTCTACAACAGAAATTTGCAATAATCTATTTTATCATGTTTACCTTAGTTACATTTTTGGCATTTCCTTGCTTAGATGCACATTCAAATTTCATCAGACCCCACTCTTACAAATTGCAGGCAGCTCTCAGTCCCTTTAGAACACCCACTAAGACTTAAACATTATTGTTTTCATTGATTCTGATCAGAAGAGGTAGGAATTAGCATCTTAATAGCATTCTACAATATGTATACTGTAGCTAGCTAAGTCTCCACTAGAAACTTTCTGAATCCCACAACAGTTTCTTAGTGCCTTGGATAACCAAGTTGTCATTTTTAATCTATTTGTAAAATCAATAGATATCATCTTGGAAGCATCTTTTTATTTTAATAAAGTATTTTTTTAAACTTTTCCATTTATTCTCCAGCCATCTTGAAAGAAGGATTGCTTGACCGTTTTGTGTTCTCTTTGGAGTCAAGCACACTTTATAAGCATTCAGAAAAAGGTTTCATAATCCTTTTAGCAAGCTTCTTGCTGTCAATGTTAACTCAAATTTCTTACATTCTGTTAGAAAGAAAAGAACAACACACCCTCTAAATAAATATTCAGAGAACATAACCACTCTCCAGTGATCTTTACAATTATTATAACTTACACTACAATATTTTGCTAAATAAAGCTCTTGACAATTATCTAAAAGCATATAACAATCATCTAATCATAGGCTAGGGAAAGTTGGCCCCATTGAGAGAAGGAAACAAAAGAATGATCACTGAACCTCAAAGGGTTATGAAGATTAAAAATAAATGCCATGTAATTGAAGAAGATGGCCTGCACTCAAAGGAGTGGAGAGCGACATTTGCTGTGCTTGTGTATTAAATCATGACAGGTACAATCTCCAAAGGTAACTTCGAATTCAATAACAGAAGCACACTGTTTTCACTGGATTTAAACATTTTTAATTTCATTTATCTTTTATTGTCCTATTCGAATGAGATTTCACAAGGACATTTTGTAGTCTTCCCAGTTGACTTCTTCCTCCCCTCTGTCTGGCCAAGTTGCTATGTTCTGGTCTGTTCCAAAGGTCACTTGTTCCAGTTGAAATAGCTGTCTGGATGGCCTGGAAGCAATCCAGATTCTGGTTCTTTCCTGCAAAGAAACTCAAGATAGATGATTGCTTCTTGGCTACATTTTGAAAGGAAAAATATTAAAGAATTTTCTGGCTGAGTTTACTAACCCTTGTTTAAAAAATTCATATAATTCTAGACCCTATTTAAAATTATTTTTCCCAATGCTTACTGCTTATTTTACCTTTTATTTCTAAAAATCACTTGCTTATCATTAGTATCATCACATGATTTAATAGGTAATTAATTGTGTGTCAGAAAAGTACAAAGATTCTGCAGAGATTTGGGAAATTCTAGTATCTCTTGCTCACTTGCTCACATGTACTCTAGCTATTCAGTTCTTTATTTTCCCGCTTTTAGTAGCTCTTATTTGGAGATAAATTAACTTGAATTGTGCTAGAATGGAGGGAGACAGGTAATGAGGGATCGTCCTAATCTTCAGAGATTTCAACTCCCCCAAACTTAGCAAATTGTCCACAGATATGTTTTCCATGCAAGTTGGACCATTTGTGGACCAGGGAGCAGTAAAAACGATGCAACTGTACAAGAGACTTTTTCAACAGTGATTTGTCTGATGGTGGCTCCACCTTCCTTTTCCACATAAAAAGAAACAAAAGAGAAAGTACCTGAAAATAAACTGGTTTCTGTTTTGCCACTTTTTGCCACAAGAGCAATTAAAAAACAAATATTACCTGAATTTTAGAAAACTCTCGAGTTTTAAAACTTGTAAACCATATTTTATTTGAATTTTTAAGCAGTTAAAAAAACAATTACTCTTACTTTAGAATAATTTAGTCTGATCTGTAGGAAAACATCAGACTAAAGTTTATTACACACACACAGACACACACACACACACACACACACACACACACACACACACACATATATATATACACATACATACATTTTAGGTATACAATACAGTTACATTCATCACTGGGATGTATCTTGGTTCTTATTTTTTCCCCATTCTCCTGACCTCCCTTTACCCCCTCCACCCCTCCCTATTTACAAAGACTTTGTTTCCATTTTTTCCTTTTCTCTTATTTTTTTTCTTTTCCCTTTTTACCTTTCCCTTATCCCTCCCACTCCCCCTACACCTTTAGACCTTTTCTTCCTATTACACTATCAAATATACATTTTGACCCTTATTTGAACTTTTACTTTATCACACCAGAGAAACTATATGGTATCTACACGTGTGTCCTACTAATTTCACTTGAGTATGTCTTCATTGTGCATCCACTTAGCTACAAATGTCTCTAGTCTCTCGTTTTTTATGGCTTAGTAGTACTCCATTTTATTTTTAAAAAATACACATCTTTATCCAGTCTCCAGTTGATGGGCATTTGGGCTGTTTCCAAGTTTTAGCTATTACAAACTATGTCACTATAAACATGGGTAAGCATACATCACTATGGTATGATTCTCTTAATTCTTTTAGGGAGATACCCAGCAGGGGAATAACTGGGTTAAATGGGACTTCCAATCCTAGTTCTTTGAGGTATCTCCATATTATTTCCACAGTGGTTGCACCAGTCTGCACTCCCACTAATAATGGAGAAGGATTCCTTTCTCCCCACACATCACCAGCATTTATTGGTTGATTTCTTGACAGCATCTATTCTTTCTGGGGTGAGGTGGACTCTCAGTTCTATTTTCATCTGCATTTCTTGAATGACCACTAATGTTGAACGTTTTTTCATATATTTATTTACTTGTTTTACTTGTTTCTCTGAGAAATGTCTGTTCATTTCAGATGCCCATTTTTGAATGGAGTCTTTATTTTGGGGGCCTGATTTTTTTTTTTTTAGTTTTTTATATATTCTAGATAGTAGACCTTTGCCTCCGACTAAAGTTTAATACACTAAGCTATGATGTTGTGCTTATGGTTTTAGTCTGATCTTCAGCTTTGGCAAAGTGATACAGAGGGATCACATCTCCTGAAGTTCATAACTATTAGCTATTCTTGAAATAAAAATGACCCCCCCATAAACCTAAGAGTAAGAAAAAATATCAAGAAACCATGTATTTCACATTATTTGACTTACAAACTAGTTTTATATAAATATTGAAGCAATGACTCCTAAGTAAAAAGAGCATCTGACATAAAAAGGTGATGCTACTGCCGTAAAAAAGGAGGGCAGTAGTTACAAAGCTATCGCAATCTTTGCATCTCTTCAATATCAAACATCTTGTATGCCATTCTCTCTTCATGATGGTCAAAATCAAACGCAAGGCCAAGCATGACTCTTAAGAGCATGACTCACTACTAGGAATATATTTGAAGGCAGATCAGAATAGATTTACTCTAGAAAAATAGGACCTATGTCTCTCTCAAATTATTAATGGCTGGCCATATTTTCAGGACAACTTGAAAAATGACACACATCTCAAGGGAGTTCAAAGGCTTCCCTCTTTCCAAATGAAGGCTATGCCTTGAAAATGCTAGCAAAGAAAATAATAAAACTTGTAAGGTAATACCACACTGAAATGTCAAAACACACAAACTTTCAAATTTGCCATGTGAATGGAAATATGTAGATTCACAGAGTGTTGTGTAGCTTGGCTTTATAGGAGCCTGCCTGTATGTGCTCTGGTTGTGTAATGAAGCTCCCTACTTATGAATGTGAATGCAAGGATACTTTCTTGACATGGATTCAAATAAAATTTGGTTTTGTTATCTTGTGTTATACTCTTTTGAGTGGCTTTTGGGGTAATGTTCTCCTTGTTTGTTTTAGCTGTAAAGTAATGGAAATGCAGCTAGCATAAAAATTCCCCAGTATGCCTGTTAAATCTTCCAGAGACAGCAATCTGCCTGTGCGTTTCTCATCTCTCTGCATGCCTTCCTCAAGCCTTAATCATGGAGTGCAGCTAGAAAACAGCTGGCCCAGGAAACCACAAGGGCCTCAAGTATTTATTTCTGCTACACAACTTGATCAGATTTTTAGAAATCTTTAGAAAAATGTTTGTGAAAAAAGAAACAGAACATCCTTCTTAGAGATGTTCATTTTTTAAAAGGAATCAAGAATGTCCATTTGGTCAAGCAAGATTAATTAAATAGCTTCTAGACAGAAAATAAAGGCAATGAGTCCATGGAAAATCATGAGTCATATGACCTACTTGAATTTATTTAGAACATACACACATTCACAAAAATTTGGGATTCCATGAAAACCAGATTGTTCCCCTAACTAAAAATTAAAAGGTCAAAGGAAAATTAGACAAATGTCCAAAAAAGTTATGCATGAAAATTGTCTAACAAACAAAATAAAATACATAGAACAATTAACAGAAAGTAGTTTTAACATTTTTACTTTCGTATGTTAGTCTTTTCAATCATATTTTTATCATGTAATATTTAATATTAACTTGTATCTAATACCAGTAACAATTTTCTTTAATCCTTAGTCATATGACCTACTTGAATTTATTTAGAACACACACATTCACAAAAATTTGGGATTGCATGAAAACCAGATTGTTCCCCTAACTGAAAAATTAGATGGTCAAAGGAAAATTAGACAAATGTCCAAGAAAGCTATGCATGAAAATTGTCTAACAACAAACAAAATAAAATACATGAAACAATTAAAAGAAAGTAGTGTTTTACCATTTTTGCTTTCATATGTTAGTCTTTTTAAAAGTATTTTTGATCATATAACATTTAATATTAACTTGTATCTAATACCAGTAACAATTTTCTTAAACAATTATTAGGAAAGTTATAATACTGAATTTTTTTTTGGATGTTTAAAGGAAGAGAGAACAAGAGAGATTTCAGAATGTGCTTGCTCTTCAGAAAAGCCAAGGAAGATTAAAATAAACACAGTAATTCATTATTGTTCTTCATGAGAATGGACAATTTAAAGTGGAGAGAAACATTGGCTGTATTTCTAAAGGTCAGCTGTATTTCAGAGAAAAACTGAAGTCATATTTTCACTACTTAAGACAGATGCTTTATGATAAAGACTTCTCTGATGAGGTCCTTTTGTGCCTATTGGAGTCTGCTCTTCTGAGTTGGGTACAGACTGGAATAAAAGAAACAAGTCATGGTCTTTCTTGTCCTTCACTGATTCTTTTATGTGGCTCAGCTCTACATATTCAGATGGGCCAAATGAAACTTTGCATGCTGGCTATATTCCACCAGACTGTTTCCTTTCCAGTAGCACAAGGAATATATATATATATGTGTGTGTTTCTGAATTTGGTCTAAGACAAATATCCAAATAGCTTGAGATACTCATTTTGGAAACATAGTAGACACACATTTTAACAATTTCACTTGCCAAAACCAAAAATCATCAAAGGAAAATGGCACAAATAATGAATATATATATATATATATATATATATATTAGCAAGAATAATGTTTATTTATGTCTGCCAAAATTTCAAGATTACTGTTAGAGACTGTGATGTGTCTATGTGGCCAGGAAGACCATTGTGAGACGGACAGTCTTCCATCAGCACTCATCACAGAGCAGTCTTTGGTGTTTGTGAAACCACAAGTCCATCACTGGGAACTACCAGCAGTGAGTTGGTAACACTGCAGTCAAACTACTAATCAAGATTTCCCAGAAAAGGCCATCGCTCTAGAAATGTGCCAACTACTTGGGTTAGGGATTTGCCTTAAAAGTTGCAGATCAGCATAATATGGAAGGTTTATTATCAAGCTACAGAAATGTGACTTTAAACAATTTGAGCAATAATTCATAAAGATTTATATTTTCTTAGAATTAGGATGTGAAACGAACGATCACTGCAAACACCTGCAGTTACTCTTTTAGTAGAGCTGGGGATGACTTCTCGATATCCCTGAGCTGCCTCAATGAATTTGCCTCACAACATGTGAAAGTCTATGCATAGAATATGTGTCAGCACATATAGTCGTGGTATGGAAATTTCTTTTCATTCTCTATTAGATAATTTTCCAGTGTTTTCCTAACTTATTCTTTTGTTTCGACCCTTGTGAGATAATACTAGATGGAAGCAGTCTATAGTATAAAAATGTAATTTTTAAGTTTCTATTAGCTATGGCACTGCAGTATTAGAGATTCAAAATTCGAGGTTAACAAGGCCACTATCATTGAAGATTTTATCTAAAAAACATCAAATTAAAAAAGGAAAAACCAAATTCTGTAGATATTGAATCAATACACAACCTTTGATTGTGAGGTGTGGCTGTCAGTGGCCACTTCTCAGCTGTGTTAAATATTAGTAGCCCAGTACTTGTGTGTTTCACAAATTATTTGTTCTAAAATCAATAAGTATATGCAGTTTTTACTGATTTGTAGTGAGGTCTTTATGTGTAGCTTTTTTAGGTCATGTGTTGACACTTTCTCCCCTTCATATATATTTTCTATAAAAATTATTTTATGTTGAGTTCATGAAAACATTTACAAAATGCTTATTTCTTTTTTTTTTTTTTTTTTTTAGTGCTACTGGAGATTAAACCCAGGAGACTCTGCCTGAGCTACATCTCTTGCTCTCTTGTTTGTTTGTTTGTTTTGTGACAGGGTCTCTCCAAGACGGACATTTTGATCCTTATGCCTCAACCTCACAGAGTGCTGGGATTACTGTTGTGTGTGACCACATTCTGTTTCTATTTTTTACACCGTCTGCATTTTTCGTAATGCTATACAATGCTAATTTATTTTACATAATACTATCAGTATTATCTTACCCATGTAAAGGATCCTCTTTCCTGATTACCTAATTGAATTCTACATGTGAGATTATTTTTTAAAATTTTTATTAGTATGCGTTTTCAGTACAAAATGATCACATTCACTGCAGGGAACTGGCACATGTACACAACACATTTCAGTTCGTCTCTCTTCTCTCCATTCCCCTTTTATTGTGCCAGCATCAGATACATTTATTTATCTTATAATTTTTTGGTTTTTTTTTTTTTTGGTACCGGGGATTGAACTCAGGATCTTACACTTGCAAGGCAAGTGAAGGAACCACTGAGCTAAATCCTCAGCCCGTCTTATAAGACTTTATAAAGTTAATTACCCTATATAAAGAGTAACACCAGACTAATAGGAAAACATCTTATAGAAGACATAAGACAATTATGCTGTCAAGGTGCACTTTTATATACATTGTCCATGCTGGATGACACCAAATTTTTCTCTCTCTTTTTTCGTATTATCTCTTTTTTTGGACTTATTTATACATTAACTTTTCTATATAAGAAAAACCATGTGAATAAAGCTGGGTTTGACAGCAGACATCCTTATTTTGTTCCTGATTTTAGAGTGAGAGCTTTCAGTTTTTGTCCATTTAGTATGATATTGGCTGTTAGTTTGTCATAGATGGCTTTTGCCGGGTTGGATAAAGACCTTCTATCCCAATTTTCTGTAGGATTTTAATTATGAATGAGTGTTGGACTTTGTCAAATGCTTTTTCTGTGTGTATTGAGATGATCATGTGGTTTTTGTCTTTGCTTATGTTAATGTGATGTGATGTGTGGGATTTATTGATTTGGGTATGTTGACCATGTCTGCAACCCCAGGATGAATTCTACTTGGTCATTGCGTATAAGTTATTTGAGGATTTTCTGTATTCTTTTTGTGAGCATCTTACAGAGGACTTTTGCATCTATGTTCATTAGGGAGATTGGCCTGTAGTTCTCTTTTTTGGTTGAGTCCTTCTCTAGTTTTGGTATCAGGGTAATACTTGTTCCCAGGGAAGATTTTGGAAACATGGCTTCTCTATTTCATTAAAGAGTTTGGAGGGAACTGGCATTAGATCTCTAAATTTCTTGTAGAATTCAGCAGTGAAACCACCAGGACCTAGGCTTTTTTTGTTGGTCAATTTTTAATTATATTTTCAATTTCAATGACTGATATTGGGTTATTTCAAATTTTAATGTCTTGCTTCAGTTTTGGTAATTAGTATTTACCTAGAAATCTGTCTGGTTCTTCACTGTTTTCCATCTTATTAAAGTGTAGGTTCTTGAAGTAGGTACTAGGAAATCTCTGGATTCCCGTAGGATATGTTGGGATTTCATCTTTTTTATTCCTTATTGCATGAATTTGGGTTTTAATTTTTTTATAAGGTTAGCTAAGGGTTTATCAACATCACTGGTCATTTGAGAGATGTAAGTTAAAACAACAGTGAGATATTTTCTCACTCCAGAAAGAGTAGCTAATATCAACAAATTAACCAATAACAAATGCTGGCAGGAATGTGGGGAAAAGGAAGCCTTCTGCACTGTTGGTGGGAGTGCAGACTGCTGCAACTACTGTGAAAATCAATGGGGCGATCCCTCAAGAACCTCAGATTAGAGGTCCCATTTGACCCAAATAGGCCTCTTCTGGGTATCTTCCCCCCAAATTAAAAGCTCTGCACCACTACAATATATATATATACCCATGTTTATAGTGACACAGTTTGCAATAACCAAATGCCCACCAACTAATAAATGGATTAGAAAGATGTGGTTTTTCTATCCAATGGAATATTACTTGATCACAAAGAGAGATAAATTTGAGACATCTATATTTCAATGGATGCAGCTTGAAGCTATATGCTTAAGTAAATAAATTGGACACATATATGTAAATATTGCATTTTCTCTGGTGTAAGACACTGAAAGTGTAAATAGGAACCAAACTGTATAATAGGCAACGTGAAATAAGAAAAAATTGTGCAAAAGGAAGGAAGAACAAGAGAGGTGAGGGGGGAAAGAAGAAATGAAAAAAAAAACAAGAAAAGGAGAAATGGAAAAGGGGCTTTTGTAAATAAGTAGGGGAAGAGGAATAGAAGGGAGGGGAGAGGTATGGAGAAAAAAGAAGCAAGATACATCATGTACAGGTACAAATTTTCTATGTGATGTGATCATTACATATAGCTTGATTTGTGTCTAATTTACTTTACATTATGGTATCAAGGTGCATCCATTTTCCTACAAATAACATTTGAATTTATTGATGGCAGAAAACACAAGCTAACATCTGTCACTTAGTTGATTCTGTAGAACGGAAGCCATCTGGTAGACCTGTGAGAGAGATAATTTGCTATCAGTTGCTCTATGCATCATGTGTTCACAATGAAAAAAAATGTTGTGAATCGTTTAACAAAAAAATTTGATTACCTATATTGTGATACTTTATGTGTACAGATGTAAAAGTACAACATGAATAACTGAGTTTTCATATGAATGCCCTAAATCTCACAGATACTTTCTTATTGAAATAAATAAAACATGATTTAGAACACTTTTAGTTACAAATCACACCATTTTACAGATGATATTAAATCATTTTGTTAGATGAAAACTTTAAAAAATAATGTTAATGCATAAGCTAAGAAACAGAAGGCAAGATTTGTTGGTTACTAGGCAATATAGTGAAAATACAATCTTTCAAAAATTATCAAAATAAAATTTATTGAGGTTACTCATGAATATGTGTTCCACAACAATAAAACGTTCTATTATTAAATTTAATTCACAAATTTTTCTGTATGTGTTTGCAGAATGTCTACATTCTTTGTGGGGAGTCAGTACATGCACATAACACATATTTTTTTTTTCGTATCCTTTTCCCTTCCTTTTCTCCCCCATGCACGTCTCTATCCTCATCTTTTGTTTTCTTTTATGCATGTTATGTGAACTGTATTGTTCTGAGTAAATGATAGACTGGATTATGTTGTTTTGAAATTTCTTGAAACTCAGAGATACTGTATGTTAACACATATCCATCTAGTTTCTAGTTGCAGTTTTGACTGCAGCTTCTCTTCATGGTGAGAGGTATGTTCAAGTACAATGCTATCTTACCAATGATGTGTTGAGTTTGTCTTAGTGACCAAAGTTAAAATATTCTGAAATGGACTTTGAACTTATTTGGACTAATAATTCTCAGAAAAAAAATACTGTAAAACCTTTGGTCTCTGGACAGTCTTGATGATATTACTCTCGGTAAATTCCATGTCACGTAATAACAGAGAAATAAAATCTCAAATACTGGTAATTGCTGGTAAGCATATGGAGCCACCAAAACTTTCAGTTATTGCAATGGGAATAAAAATGGTGCAGAAAATTTGGAAGACTCTTTGGCAGTTTCTTGCAAAAGTAAAATAATCTTACTTGCTACAACAAACACACTCATACTTATCCAAGTGATTTGAAAACTTATGACTACACAAAATCCTACATGCTTATAGCAATTTTAATCAGAACTGCCCCAAACTGGTAGCAACTAAGATATTTTTCAATCAGTAAATACGTAAACAACCTGTGGTATATATTTATAAATATATGTGTGACATTACTCAGAGAAAAAAATGAACTATCAAGGCTGCGACCCACACAGCGCAGGGTCCAAAGCCGGGGAGAGTGGTGGGAGATGGGGAAAGTTGAAGAATAATGAGAAAGAAAGATACACACCAAGATTAAGCTTGAGCGCGGGGACCGGCTGGAACCAGAGCCTGATGAGCTAAAGGCCGCCCGGAGTACCACACACTCTGTATAACGGAAGGCAAACGGGAAGAGCGGGCAAACAGCGCTACATGGCCTATGTGGCCTAGGTGGACCGTAACCTGATTGTTTCATGAGCCGCGCATGCGCAGGAAGGGAACAGGGAAGGCTATACAATGTAACTGCCTCCGGGGCTGTGCCGTCCAGGGTCTGCAGTCTTAGTCAAACAGTGTCTGTTTGATGGAGGAGCAAGGGAGTACAGAAGAGGCGAAGGGCCATCTTCAGGCTCACCCGCAGCATATCAAGACCCCCCCAACCACCAATTAATACGAAATACATGTTAATGTCTGAAAGTGATAAGTCTGAAAAAGTTGCAGACTGCATGATTCATGTTATTATGGAAACAACAAAACTATTGCGAATGTTGAAAGACCAGTGCTTGCCAAGTGCTCAGGGGAAAGGAAAAGTTTTTTTGTACGTGTGACAGTGAAATTATTTTATATGATTCTGAGGTAATGTGTGCAGGATACTGGGCATTTGTCAAAACCTATGAAACTTCACAGCACAAGAAAGAACACATTTAAAAAATTAATTAGGATGTTGATGATTAAATCCAGATGGGACAGAGGTCTAACTATATTACAAATGTATGAAATAACCACATGGGAAGAGTAAGAACAAAGATGATAAACAAATACCTAAAACTTGAGTGAAATCTTTAAGGCTAAAAGCAAAAGAAATGGCTCCTGTACTTTGTAGTCTTGGGATTGAACAACTAATTATATGACAGATGCTTTTGGCCAAGGTTCTTGCTGTTAGAATAGGTAGTTTTACAGATTACCAAGGAAGAAAGCCAAAAAAATCTGTGTGGAAATCGATTAGACATGGAGTTGTCAGCAAGAACCTAATATTAGCCAGGCTTGGTGGCACACGCCTGTAATCCCAGCACTCGGGAAGCTGAGGCAGGAGGATTGCAGTGAATTTGAGATCAGCCTGGGTTACATAGTAAGTTCCAGCAAGACCAGCCTGGGCTACATAGTGAGTTCCAGGTCAATCTCAACTACATAGTGAGACCCTGTCTCAAAAAACCAAAACAAAACAAAAAGAACCTAATTTAATTTAGATAAAATTACATTACATAGTGGAACACTTTCAGATGCGTATAGAAAGCTCAGTACATGTATGTATCATTCCTTGCTTTGTTAGCTGACAGGATATAGAAGTAGTGATACCTTAGTAGCAATGTTCACATGTTAGCTAAATTTGGTCCATACTACCATTCTTCAATAATAGGAACCAGGGCTCTTCCTAGAAAAGCATATGCTGATTCTAGGTTTCAGAAGGAAATAAATGAAATGAGTACATTTTGTAGCCTGTTGAAGTAAGGAAATTCTTGAGTCAAAAGAAATAAAGTAAATGCACAGTGCATAGGGTGTGTCAAAGGGACACAGGAATTGAATAATTGAAGCAACAAAATAAAGTCATACTAAATTACAACCCAAATTAGAAAATAAGCATCCATGAGTTCATATGGAAATAAAGTGGTTAGATAAAATTGTGGAGAAAAGAAATCTCCCACACAGAATAATTCCAAGTGTTTTATGGAGACGCTCTGCTAAGGAGGACTCCCCACCCCTTAAGAAGAGAAATGCTCGGTAGGGTACAGGACAAGGACACTGTGGAAAGGGGAGACACGAGAGACTTCATGGTGGACACTGCTGATAAACATCATTAACCATGCTGATGGCAAACACTTTTTGTTATTTTGTTTTGTTTTATTTTGTGTTTTGAGCCAGGGTCTCGCTATGTAGTTCAGGCTGGCCTTGAACTCACTATGTAACCCAGGCAGGCCTCGGATTTGTGACAATCCTCCTGTCTCTGTCTCCAGAATGCTGGGATCACAGGTGTGCGCCACCACACAGGCCAGATGCATACTTTTACGATGGCACACAATGTGATGAACAGGGCAGCTTGCCTTTGAGTGCTTCCTTCCTAAATGTTTAACCCAGTCTAATGAAAGAAAATCATCGGACAGTTCTCAAAAGAGGAATGTTTTACCAATAAACTGGCAAGCACTCATGAAATTTGTCAAAGCCATCAAACTCAAGGGAATGAAAGAATAACATCACAGCAAATAGAAATTTAAGGAGACATGACTGGTAAATGTAATGAAGGGTCCTGAATGGGACCCTGGCACAGAAAAAAGGGAAATATTCAGAGAAATAGGGACGTGGGAATAATTTGTGGACTTGCAATAATAATCTACTAATATTGCCCATTATAATAAATGCATTACAAAAAGTAGGATGTTACTAATAGGCCATACATCAGGAGTATTTGTACTCTGTCCTTTAGCCATCATTTTTCTGGATATCTATTACTATTCTGCAATAGATAAGTAAGTATATTTCTAAAAATATTGCCTGGTATTTGAAAGAAAGAGGGTAATCAAAGTACTTATTGGTTAAAGATTTTAATTAGCCTAACTCTCTAAACAGTTTAAGATACTCAAATATCTATAATAATAAAAGAATCAACTGCAGAAATTCCCATTTTTCTCTAGCTTTAGGGCCAAAAGAAAGGCCTGTTCGGTTCATAAACAATAACAGCATTGTGGATTTATAAACATAGAAGTAATGATAATCAAAGCAGAACTAATTTTACAGGAACTCAAAAGAAATATTAGATTAAGTTCCCAAAAATGTCCCAAATGATACCTTCCAATACCATTCCCAAAATCCATTTTATTTTAATTCAAGAGCTATTCCCTGTATTTTAAGAGGAAAAAAAAAAAAACATCTTGGGGTCTGAAAAAAATACTTATGATACTTAATAAGCTTAAAGCCTTGTCAAGGGCAAGACATACCACGTGTGTGGTCCTAAATTAAAAATGAAAAACACAAAACGACTGAAAGTAAATGAATATAATCTCACTCACCCACAGCGCATACCACATAAATATTTTGAGTAGAGCAATCGCGCTGATGGGAAAATATGACATGTAAAAATTAACACGTTATATCTATCCTGAAGGAATTTTTTAAAAGTTGAGGTTATCAAAAAAATTTTTTTTTATTTGAACAACTCGAGAGGAATGCAGATAAGGGTCATGGAAAGGCCTTTTAAATTAAGTCAAAGTGCTTGTACCTGTTTGTTCTACTGAGTAAGTTGTTCTAGGCAAGGATGTGCTGTCACCAAAAGAGCACAGCCACCAGGAGTTAGCAAGAAAGTTGCTTTCTTATTCACTACACACCCGTTATGGATGCTGTCACTCTGGTCACTAAATTGGGCATCGCTGGCCTGGGGTAAAGAAGAAAATCCTGGCTAGAAAAATGATGTCTTCCCAGTTTTGCTCGGCAGTGGCACATTCGCTTCCTCCGAGAAAGGGAGACCTGTTATTTCCTGAGCCAAAGCAAATAACACAAACGCCCCGCATCCCACTAGAATCGGACGCTACACGGAAAGAAATAAAAGTGTGGCCACGCAGTAATATAATCTACGCGACTTGTAAATGTCTCCAGTTCTCACTAATTCTGCAAGCACTGTCTCGTTAGAAAAATGACTTGATATCTTAGTCTCCTTCTTATTTATAAACTATGAGCGGTATGAATGAATTAGGAACACAATCGAGATGAATATATTAGGTAGGTACTGTACTCTGTACATGGTAATATCATAAAGGCCAGATGAACATGGAAATCCTTCTACGGCAATAAGTGAGCAACTAAGTTTTAGGCAATAATAATAATGATGCATTAAGGAAATATTAAAGAGTTCTGCCTTTCTCTAGAGAAATAATTGATGAATATATATTGTTTTAATGTATTTTTCTCAGAATAATTTTATTTGCTGTGTCCCATAAAACACTGAAATTTTTAGCTGTCTGTTTGCTCTATATGGTTCTTGAAAGAAAGTAAGATTCAGTGTTTCCAGGATTGGATGTCCAAACGAAATAAATCATAATAAGACCTACGTAATTGAAACCAGGAGCACTGGTCCAAGGAAGGGTTCACCCGGCCACAGCAGCCATCAGTGGGACTCTTGACACGGCCCTGTGTCTGCCAGGAACCTCTGTGCCCCGCACGGCTGGGGAACCGAGGCTCCCACAAAATATAACCCAGTTTGCCTTCTTGGTAAGCCAAAATTCGGGGCTTTTTCTATGGTTTGAAATTTATCTCAAGGAAGATTTCAACCCCAAACCGAACTTGGCTAAAATTCCTACAAAAGTTGAGTACTCAGGCAACTCAGATGTGCTGAAGCACGAGGTGCTCCTGACGGAGAGTCTGCCCACTCTTGCTTCCTTCAGCGCGGTGGACACGGAGAAGGAAACATTTACATTCTGCTTAGATGCACAGTCCTTCTCTTTTCTCGCGCTGACAACCTGAGCACTTTATATTCATGAATCTAAATGTGTACTCCCTTCTTTACAATTTATTTATTTATTTATTTTTATAGTTTGGAACTGGAGCTCAAACTCTGGACCCGGTGCTTGTAAGGCAGGCAGTGGAACCACTGAGCTAAATCCCCAGCCCCCTTCTTTATAAATTCTTTTTTTCAGTTTTATTCACTCCTATTTAGATATTGTCGATTGCTAGCATTGATCGTTGCTTTACGTTGTATATTCCACCTTTTCATCTAGTTAGTAAGCTGCACATCATGACAACTAAAAATACACTTGTTTTCATCACCATCCGTGTCTATTAGCGTGCTGTTGTAATATAGGGTTATTAATAAGCATGAGATTTGTATTACAAGTTTTTACCTGATTCACACCACTATCTATTTTCATTGTTTGGCTCATCATTTCTTCTTGGTTTTCTTCTGTTGGATCTCCAAAATTATATTTCTCTAAATTGTATTTTTCTGCAGACAGATGGTTGACTCAGAAATATTTGACTAGTTGTAACAGAGGAGTCAGGAGCATTTTAAAAAGTCAGTCAAGATGGAAGGGGACAAAAGAGAGGGGAAGTGAAAGGATTAAGATGTGCTACATATATGTACTGAGATCCCATGTTGGATACGTTTGCATCGCAAACAAATATTGATAAAAATAATTTTAAGAAAGAACTTAATGGTGAAAATTAGAAAAAAAAAAATAAAGCAAGCATGAAGTCAGTCAATGTTCGGCCCTAATAATAAAGGCACAGTTTAAATTTGTATCTGCCTGATAAGATCTTCTAAAAAGCTACGATACATGAGGTATTTTCAGAGTTGAAACCACTCAGAAGCTTTCTTTGGAGAAAGTAAGAACTGAACAAAACTTTCGGCAAAAATGTAGAGGGTTGGATGTAAAAAGGATAACCTGGGAATCGTCAAAGGATAGATTACCCAGAATGGAAGCAATGAAATAAACAGCACCAAATGGGACTCAGATCAAAGCAAGAGAAAAAGGATACTTACAAGAAAGGCTGTTTAATCTGAACATTTGAGCCATAACTTAATGGGGATTTCATGAGCCTTCACATCTGGTGGAAAAGATAAGCAGAGCAGTAGTTTCCTAATTATGGGTCAATCCAGTAAGAATGACTCCACCATGGCAGAGTCTAAGAACGATGTCACGGCACATGTCTTAGTTTAACTCTGAGAATCAGCACGTGAAGGTGGGCCTGTAATTAGCTGTGATACGCGGAGAGGCAAGAGTCAGGTTGACACAAGCCAAGTTCTAAGTTTTGAGTATAGGCTGAATTCAAGAGTGATAATGCTATAGGATGAGTTCCCCAAGGAAGAGGCTCTGAGGTAAATGTTATCCCGATGACTCACTTGAGATTACTCTTAGTGATGACATCAATGTAGGAATGAGAGAGGCGGAGCTGGGCAGAGAACGATGGTGGGGTGTGCCTTAGTTACTTTGCTAATTGCGGAGACAAAATACCTGACACCCACAAGTTAAAAGAGGAAAGATTTCTTTTGGCTCACAGTTTGTAGAGGTCTCAGTGCATAGTTAGCTGGCTCCACGGTAGGGTGGATGGCAGAGAGGCGCTGCAGTGGATAAACAGTCCATGGCCAAGTACGCAGGAGATGCAGCAGCAGCAGCAGCAGCAGCAGCAGCAGCAAGCCGCCTTTCCCTTTTTACCCCATCCGGGCTACAAGCCTCGTGGGTGGTGCCACCCACAACCAGACTAAGGCTTTCCATTTCCCACACACAGAATTACGATAGACCAATTAGTGAACTAACCCAGCACCACACACCTTAATCCCAGTATCAATATTAATCCACACACTCTAGATCAAGCCATCTCAAAAAGCCCCACTTACAAGTGCAGGAGGCTTGGGGAGACATTGAGATAACAAGCCATTCAGAGTGTGATGCGAAAATGTCTCCCAGCAGGGAACATAGAGCCAAAGGGGCCCTTCAGTGATTCCTGAATTGAGAGAAGGATGCTAGTTCTCCTTCTCTCATGAGCAAGTTATCATCTACAGTTTGATTTTGGAGAGTGGTAGTTACTTCAGGTGGGGAAGCTCCCATCAGCCTAAAGAAATTTCAACAAAATAACTCAATTATGAGTCCTTAGAAAGCCACCATTTTGTCAATTTGAGAACATCTCTTTAGGATCTAATTAGTTTATCTCATTTACGAAAACATACTCCGTGGCTCTGGTTGATCTTCTTTCCTGAGGAAATACGCAGCAGTAAAATAAATGGATAGGACGCACATGTGTAAATACTGAATAGTTTCTCCAGTATGAGAAACTGAAAGTGTAAACGAGGACTAAAAGGTACGACAGATAATGTGAAATAGGAAGAAAAGGGGCAAAGGGAAGGGGAAGTGGGAGGGGTGGGGAAAGGAAAGAAGGGATTGGAATTAATATGAGGAAATGGAAAGACGGAAACAGTCTTTGTAGATTGGGAGGGAGGGGTTGAAGGGAGGGCAGGGGAATGGGGAAAATAAGGACCAACATGGATTATGTAAAGGTGCAAATTTTCAATGATGAATATCATTATATTATATACCTTAAAGGTACCAATAAAATTAATTAGAATAAAAAAGTAAAATAAAAGGGAAATCCTAGATTTTCCTCTACTGCACCTGGTACTTAGAAGGAAACCTAGCTTTTTCTTCATTGCATCTTCCTTACCCATTCTGAATTCCTATCGTAGGTAACACAACTCAGGCGTGCTTGCTCACCCAGTGTTATCGAATGGACTAAGATTGTGAACACCACATTCTCCTTAGGCCTAGTTGCTACATTTGCTTGTATACCATCAAAAGTGAGCAGATAAATTACAAATCTGTGCTTCCATAGATATGCATTTGTGTAACAAATAGACAAGTACTGTGTTGAGTGGCCATGTAACATGGTGGTTATCCAGTAGACCGCAAGTCTTTAACTTCTGTATCTGCGCTCTGTGAACTACATGGCAAATTTTCTCAAACACTCTATGATCAGTTTGAGATATGATATAGTCAGAGTAGAGTTGACCGCCTTCTAGAATACCAGACATGATAAAAATTGGTCTGAATTGCTTTTATTATTATTGTTGTTGTTGTTGTTGCTATGCTGTTATTTTATCACCAAAACAACAAGAACACTATTGCAATAAAAAGCTGAATGTTGGGGCACTAAAAATCATCCTCAGAATAAGTTGAAAATATTGAGGCTCATTATTACATAGAAGAAAGATGCTCTGTTCCCAATATCGATGCAGCATAAAACAGACTGAGCTACTAAGTCAATAGCAAAACAGAGATGCAGACAGTCATAGTATGGAAAATAGTTAGCATTGGGGCTAAGCATGTTAGAGGCAGTGCCTAGCTCCAGCAAGTACTTCTGAGTGCGTAGGAAGCATTACAGGTATCAAGCGGGGGCTTGAATAAACTGAGCAACCTATAGGACACATCCAGATCTGCAGTGAAGACGCACTGGGCATTCAACTCCATGGGCTCCCATAAGGCTCTAGTTAACCTCTGCAGCTTGAAAAGGCTCAGGAGCTCTCAGTATGAACACTGCTCTGTTTATATAAATTATCTGGTATCAGATGCATCCAATTTAAAACTAAGTCCCGAATTAAACACCAAATTGAAGGGGTCATTTAAAGGTTTTACATATTAAAAAAGATAAAAATTGACATTATACCAGAACACTTTTATGGTGTGTTTTCATTACATTTTTTCCTCACTGCCCTAAGGTAGGCTATAAATCATAGGGAAAGATAAGGTTTTTCTGTGATATTTTATACAATGATACAGTGTGTGTTAATTGCTTTTCTCTCACTGCTGAGATAAAATACTGGACACACAAAATTAGAGGGGAAGGGGTTTCTTTGGCTCACAGTCTGTGGAGGTCTCATTCCATAATCGGCTGGCTCTGGGGCAGAGGGGCACGTGGCAGAGGGGCTTCCCAGAGGAGAAACAGTTCATGGCAGCACTCACAGGGTAGGAAAGGCAACAAGGGACCTTCACAGCATCTTTCTATGCCTTTTCCCCATCCAGACCACTGGGACTAGGGCGGTACCAAGCCAATCACTCACATGTAGTGGTTTAGTGATCACACAATTACAAGGTGATCACACAATTACACAATTAATACCAGCATTGTACACTCTAGAGTCAGCTAACTATGACCTCATGAGGCTGTGGGGGAACATCTAGACCCAGACCATAATATCCCACCCCCGGCCCCTCAAAGACCCCTGTACATTCCTTTACACAAAAGACATTCAGTCCATCTGCAAGAGTTGCTGAAGTCCTAACAGTTTCAGCATTGCTAAAAAGTCCAAAGTCCTCTGAGAGTAAAATTTTAGCTGCAAGCCCCTGCACAAAGAAAAAGAAAGTTGAACACTTCCAACATTCCAAGGAATTCAATTTCCATTCCAAAAGTTACAAACCAGGGGATAACAAGGAATGGGAGCAAAGCAAGTCCAAAATCCATCAGGACAAACACTGCATCCCGCAGTTCCACTGCCGGCCTCCCAGGCAACCTGTGGCAAGTTGTGAGCTCCAAAGGGCTTTGGTGGCTCCAAGGGGCACCACTTCTATAGTTAGTGGTTGTAGCTCCCACAGCTTCTCTCTTGGCCTGGCTCTGCTCCCTCCTTGCGCCTTTCCTCAGACAATACATGCTCCTGGCTTCTTCAAACTTCTGAGGTCTTCACTGCACATTTGGCTTCACACTCAGCTTCACACACGGCCCTCTCAGGGTGCACTGCCTGGCCTCCCGGGCCTTCTTCTGAAATCTGGGTGGAAGCCTTCCTGACTCAACAGCTCTTCCATTCTGCATGTGTCTAAAACCAGTGCCACATGGATGATGGGCTGAAGAAATAGAGCTGGAGCACCTTAGGCTGTTCTGTATGGGAGAGCTTGCTCACAGCTCAGAAGACAAGAAAGCCAGGAAAGACCAGGCACAGCGGTTTCTTCTGAGAGGAAACTTGGCACCAGACAAGTGGGGTCATTGCTGTGACATTACCTGGCCATGTGACTTGCAAGAATTTGGAACTGGCTTGTGGGCAGGGGAAGAGGTAAGAGGAATGGAAGAGTTGTGGGGTCAGGGAGGCTTCCATCCAGATTTCAGAAGGCCTGGGAGGCCAGGCAGTGTGTCCCTGAGAAGGCAGTGTGTGAAGCTGTGATCGTGAAGTCAAAGGTTGAGTGGAGAGCCCAGAAGTTTGGAGAAGCCAGAGGATGGATCATCTACGGAAAGCTTGGAGGGAGCAGAGCTGGCCCCAGACAGAAGCCAGGGGGTTACAACCACTTGAAATGAAATAGGGGCAGCGCCACCCAAGCCCTCTGGAGTTCATAACTTGCCACAGATTGGCCAAAATGCTAGAAGTGGATCTGTGGGATTTAATGTTTGCCCTGATGGATTATTTTGTACTGCTTTGGTCTTGTTTCTTTGTAACCCTCTGTGCCTTTATGAATGGTAATATCTATCTTGCACCATTGAAGGTTGGAAGTGTTTAACTTTCTTTTCATCAGTACAGGGGGTTGCACCTAAGAGTTTGCTTTAAATTTCAGAGGAACCTTTGGACTTGAACTTTTCAGCGATGCTAACATTGTTAGGATTTTGGCAACTCTTAGAGATGGACTAATTGTCTTTTTCATTAAGGAATGTGCATGAGTTTTGGGGGGAATGTTATGGCTTATGTCTAGATGTCCCCCTGAAGCTTCATGTAGTCTTTTTTCAAGGTAACTGAATCTGGAATGTGTGATGCTGGGATTAAGGATATGTGGTCACTAAACCACTATGCACGAGAGATTGGCTTGGCACCACCCTAATCCCAGTGGTCTAAATAAGATAAAAGGGGCAGAAAGACACCGTTAAGGCGCCCTTGTTGCTACCTTGTGTGCAGCGTGTTGTTTCTCCTCTGCGATGCCTGTTTGCCAACCCTGCTTTGCAGCCAGCCAAGTATGGACTGAAACATCTACAAACTGTAAGTCAAATAAGCCAAACGGTAAGCCCCTTCTCCTCTAACTTTGGCTGCCAGGTATTTTGTCTTAGCAATGAAAGAAAAGTAACTAACACAGAAGTGAGTGATACTTACAAGTGTCCCTAAGATTATTTCAAAGTGGTCAAATGCTGTGTATCTAAAAGTATTTAGTGGAGAGATCAAGGTCATTCTGCACATCCACAAAATTAACAGAAGTACATTTGCTTCATTGTTGCTTAGCACGATATGTTCAATAACTATGGAGGAGCAGAGATCATCAATGATACTTGCAAGCCTTTCCAACTCATTGGGAATGCTCTTCAGGATCCAAGAGAAAGATTCCAGGAAGCTTTACCTCATTTAATAGAGAGGCAAGCTAGCAGCCCCAAAATACCTACATTCACTTGGTGAAAGGATATAGATGTGTAATTTTAAAATTTTCTGTTTTTCAACTTCAAAAAATGAAATGATTCTGAGGAAAGGAGATAAGCTTCTGATCCCAACTCTAATAATATTTTGAGTGTGTCACTGAGAGAAGTTATCCTTTTTTATGGCTTCCTTGCTTTTGCTTTTGTTTATTGTATTTAGTTTTTGTGGTGCTGGGAGCAAACCCAGACCCACACACATTCTAGGCAACAGCTCCACCAGCGAGCCACACTGCCAGCCCCACACCTTCCTCACCTTTATAAGAGACTTGGTAGGTCGCCCCTTCTGCACTTGAAAGATGAAGACAAACGAGCAGAATAATGGATCGTACATCGCTAAAAATGTATAGAGCTACCAAACACAAAGTATTGTCCTTATTCATTTTAATTGTGAAACAAAAAAGATCTAAGCACTAACCAATGTGGGCTTGAGTCTTCATGAACATTGATATGTTTGCTTAGCATACAAGGAAGATGTGTATGAAATAAATTCAAGGCACGAAATAAAATAATTAAAAGAGGAGTGGTCTTGTCTTTTGCAGTCATGGTTGAGAAAGACAACTCCTCTAGGTTCTGTGTAGTCATCGGAAAGACAGGCGATGACAGCTTTCCTTCCAGAAACCTTCACACATCTAACGACTACCAAAGCACACTGGCCTAATGTGAACCTCAGGCTCACATAGTGAATGCCAAGACTCGAGAAGAAAAGAAAAAAAGACAAGGGAGACTCTCATGCACTCTCTTGCTTATAATGTATTCAATAGTTGGGTTTTCTATTCGGTCCAATCTTACTGAACTTGTGTATCAAAATTTGATGCTAATGTCTATAAAGAAAATTACAATTCTGTGGGACAAATTATTTTTTCTCCTCCCTTTCTTGCGTGACCTGACCACAGACTGAAACCTTCAGTGAAAACTCTGCTGTTTCCACTTCAGTTTATTTCCTGATGTGAAATGATATCATGTTTCCGTTGTTTCTGGATAAACTCAAGCACAAGCTGAACCTCAATATGTCTTGTGGCTTTGATCTAAGCCTCTGTGTATGATCTGTGAGCTTTAGACAGCACTATTTTAAAATATATGCAAACTGTCTATTTCATATAAAACTTCTTTGGAGTAAATCTGGTGAATTGCAAGTCTGGATTAGACTTTGCTTTTCCTGGACCTGACATGAAAAGGATAACAGGCTGCCTATCGCATAAATAAAAAGACTTTCATTAAGTGTTAGAGTTTTTATTCCCCTTGCTCACTCTTTAGCATTTTCTCTCCTAGAAACAGCTCAGAGGACCTATAGATTTGATGATTGTCACCATCTCACTCTGCAGCTCAACATCATGGACACATGGCCAACAAGTGATTTTTAAATGTAATTGATCAAAAATTTAAAAATTTCCTAAAGAAACCTTTAAGGTTTAAAATACTTCATGAGATTTTTTTCCATAGTTTCATTATTGGATGTTAAACTTAAATAGATTAAAACTATTCCAAAAGATTCTGAGACTAGATTTAGAATGCAAGGGTCTACATGAGGAGCTGCTCAGTTGCACTGCATTTTTGTCCCTACCAGTTGTTGGTGACATCACGATGATCATCTCACACCCATGAGGCTATGATAATTCTTACATATCACCTCATTTAGGAAGGTTGTTCTACCTGTCTGTTATCTCCTCATCTCTCTTTCACACAGACCGTAGCTCTGTGACTCAAATGAGCATTGGATACAGTCCTCATGTAGGACCTATTAGAAATATGCTGTTTTTCCCTTTCTTGTGCTCATCTAGCCTAATGTGCACATAAACACAGATGGGACTGAGTGCTATTTGGGGAAGGGATTTTTTAAAAATTTTATTATATATCAGTGGTGAATAAATGGAAATTATTATTAAAAGAACAGTCTCAAACTCACCAAAAGCTAAAATTGCATAAATTTTCTGAGCCATTAAAATATTGAGAAGCACTATGAAAGACAGTGCTCGAGTCCCACTGAATATTCATTTTCTCCCTCTTTGCTGAAAGAACTCAAATTTTACTAAGAAAGGAACATATTTACCTGGAATTCCTTATCTCCTCATACCGCTCTACAGTTATTAAATAATATTGATGACAGATTTTATAATAGTTCATAATATAAAGGGAAAGTGTTACCTAGAAATTATTTTTATTCTTCTCTTTTTCTTTCTTGGTTTGTAGATGAATCATAAACAGTTTATGCCTCAAGAATGAAAGCCAGGTACTAAAGATGACAGAGCAAATATATTAAACCCTCTTTACTATATGGTAGGCCCTCACATCAGGCCTGAGCTATGTAGCTCTCTATTTCTTCTTATGGAACTAAAAACAAAACAAAAAAACAGATCAAGCCATTAAACTCATGTTTGTGTTGCATACAACCAAGCACAATCCTAAATAACTGACTCACTGTTAAAGTATTTAACTAATAAGATCTTACTGTGACAGTTACATAGATTGAATTTCTCTGAAAAGTAAGAATTTTTTTTTTCAGTTATCAGGGATCCTCATAATACATTTAAGAACTGAAATGGTAAATTAAGAATTGTCTTCTTTTGGAGGCTGTGGCCTAGAGCATTTTTGCCAGCACATACCAGGGATGAGTGAGTGGTCAGGGATGGGAGCAGCCT